ATTAGTGGAGTCTGATTGATCCGGTGCATCGCGGTCCATGATACCGCGGTACACCCGGATCTGTGGGCGTTGGATGGAGGGAAGATAGGGTGAGATGATCCGGTGTGACGCGAGTACGGAGTCCGGATGCAGCCAACCAACCAGGAAGTGACACGTCAGCAAGGCACCCTTAGTGCGCGCGTGGCAGCGCGTGCGCGCGCGTGGGAGCGCGTGGCTGATGCCAGACGCGCGTGGAGGCGCGTGGGAGAGTGGGGAAGGTTGGGCTGCGCGTGGGGAGGCTCTGGGAGGCGCGTGAGGGCGCGTGTGGGGTCCCTACAGCTGCTGGAAATTACCAGAATACCCCTAGGGCCTGTTTTGTAAATTCCAGAACCTTAAACTTGGATTTTTAGGTACTGTGTTGGTAATTACGGGTTTAACGGGCCACGAAATTATTATTTTAATACCCGTTACTTATTCTTATGGCCGATTAATCTTTTCTAAGCATTTATTGGCTCGTTCACAGTACAGATACTAATGTGATTTATTTAACGACATTGTTAAATATAAATAGTGTTATTATCGTATTTAATGGTATCAAACATTACTGTTAAATTAAATAAGGCCATGGTTTTAGTCAGATAAATTATCCATGATATCTTATAGGATGTTTATACTGTTAATTGATATATAAACCATGATTATTATGCTGTGTGCATTTCAGGAAATAAATGGACTGTTTAATTATGTCGCATTTATATTATATGGATGTGTTGCCATATAGAACCATATGAGCTGGCTAATAAGTTTAGACTCATTTATACCTTATGCATTCGTTGCGATAGACAGATGTGTGGCTGTCGGGGTATGTGGTTTAATATTATTGGCATGTGTTGCCTAATTGACATACTCGGTATATTTCTTAATATTGTTGGCATGTGTTGCCTAATTTATATGCTCAGTATATTCATCAGTACTTTGCGAGGTGTTATCACTGTGTAGTTCGTTATAGTCTGTGTTGTCAGTACCGTGCACCATGTATAATAGCTGATTTCCCGGGTAGGGAAAGGCGACACTTAACCACCTAGTGTGAGTCTAAGTGATCACCGTCTATTCTGGTTGAGGTCATGTTATACATCGGATAGTTCCCATAGGATGTATACAGATATAGTACTCATCCGATTCATAATGATTAATTTATTGGATTCTCTGATTTGGGTCATAGTAGAGAGGACTTGCTCGTGGGGTTGACCCACCATTGTTGTTATTTCAGGATACGGTCAGTATCCGTTTCAAGGCTGAGGTTAGCAGTGTGGGACCATCATCCGAACTCATCTACTCCTACGATCCAGTGCAGGGTAGAAGTTTTATGTAGTATTTCAGTTTCAGTTTTTATTTACTTTTGACGTTGAACTCTCAGGGTTATATTTAGGGATCCCTGACGTAGGATTTCCAAGTTGTAATGAAGTACTGTATTAAATAAAGGATGGATGGATGTTGTATTATTTAATGTTTCTTTCCTGTCTAAATTCTTTTATTTCCATCATTTTGTATTCCATGCTTGTATATTGCCAATTGTTTTTGATATCCCTCGTTTTTCGTGTATAAGCCTGATCAACTTATGCGTGGGAAATGTGGGGGTGTTACAGTTTTCCTTCATCCATAATTGTACAATGATAGGATGTTATGTGTGTGTGTGTGTGTGTGTGTGTGTGTGTGTGTGTGTGTGTAGGGGTTGCCACACCCACATTATATGCAAAAGATATTACCCATTCCTTAGCATTGAATTTGGATATTACCCATTCCTTAGCATTGAATGTGGGGCTCTCCTTTCCGTTTGGCTTGTAAAGTAATACCTCATCTACGCTGGAATGATGTCCCTCTTTTCCTCTACTATATTGTCAACCTTTGCTTTTTGGGAAAAAAAATAAAATTTGGCTTATTGTTTTTGCAACATTTTGTATTATTTTCAGATTTATTTTTCTCTAAAAATGAAAAACTGTTCAAAGTAAAATTCACTTAAAATAAGGTCACTCAACTTGTCATGTGTGTGGTTCAAGATTTTTAGTACCAAACTCAACTTTGCTTTTAGAATGTTAAAAGCATTTTTAATAATAGAACTATTATAAAAGTGCTGTCAGTAAAATGCAATTAAGCGTTTGGTAATACATTGTATAAAGCACTTTTTATACTTGAAATATTTTTTAAAATTGTTTGGTAATAATATTGCTTAAAGAAATTTTATTACTTATTTTACTATATTACCCTTACATTAAACATATGATAATTCATTAAACATATGATAATTCCCTAATATTAAATATTATAAAATTCCATTGAGTTCAATGATTTATAAAGATGAACTTGTATTTTTTTATTTATTTTTTAAATATCTCTACCCATAACGCAGTTTTAAAAGTTACGATTCTTAACTTTAATTAAACGCACTTTTTAGACCTAACCTCTACCATCTTTAAGAGCCTTTTTTTTTTTTTTTTTTTTTTTTTTTCATCAAACACTTTGCACCACAATTTTTTAAAATAGAAAGCTTTTCAATAATAGAGAAGCACTCCCAAACACCCACTTAGTCTTCCCCCACTATATTTAAATTTCAAAATAAGCATATAAGGTAGAGATTTCAATTGAGGGATGAAGTGCTTATTTAAGATAAAATGTGGCAGGAGATCGAGTTGGAATCCTGTGTTGTAGTGCTGTATCACATTGGATGGATCCTAGCCTTTGCAACGTATGTGAGCTGAAATCTATCTGATGCGGTTCATCACCATTGTATCAACTAAGATTGTTAGAGATCATCATTCCCAACTTTATTTGTTGTGAAGGATCGAGTTGGAATCCTCTGTTGTGGTGTTATACCACATCGGATGGATCCCAGCATTTGCCACGTGTGTAAGCTGAAATTCATTTGATGTTGTACATCACCATCGCACCACTCGGCAAGGTTGTTGATTGAGATTGTTAGAGATCATCGTTCACTACTGCAACTAATGATAGTAATTGCACTAGATTTGATTGTAAGAAGAACACTAATTTGAGCACCTGAAATATTTCTCAACAGTGTCTTGCTTACGGAAGGAAAATGCAAAGTGGGAGCCATTGCTTTATAGGAAAGAGCGGACACAATGAATTGATTAGTGTCTAATAAGAAGTTTCCTAGCAAAAGAGATTGTGATGTAAAGATGGTAGGGCACATAAATTATCTTCTCAAATGTACATATTTTTTTCTTTTTTATTATCTTTTGAAAAAAGTGTTATCATCTATGTGCCCTGTCATTTTCTCAGGTTTCTGTTCCCACCATTTGCCTCAGGAAAATTTTAAGATAACAGGGCACCCATCTATACCTATAATTAATATTTGATTATATCCTTTATTACAAGTTTATCACCTGTGCATGTCACACATTCCCTAGAGAAAAGCAAAGTAAATTGGGAATGCCCAATGAAAGATTTTGTTAGGGTTAGGCGAAAGTCATTTTATTAGAGAGATGTAATGAAGACTCGTGCCTGGTCAAATCAAAATAATGCATACAGAAAGTTCCATTATTAAACAAGAGCCTCTGATTTGTTTAAATAAAGCATAAAACGTCTTTTTTTTTTTAATGTTCAAGTACATGAACAAGTAGGGTAACTTAGGAATAATATGTCCCTAACTAATTCACTCATAAAAAAATTAAATAAAGAAAGAAATCACTTAAAGCTGTTGATACCTTTGTTAAATCCCTTAAACTGGTCTTTAAGGCATCAAAGTTTGGAAGATTTTGTTAATGAATCAAAAACGTTTCTTGATCAATATCATACTCTTATCTTCCTACACAATATTCCACTTTGTCCCTAATGGAAACAACTTTCAAGTCAAAAAGAGGCTACTCTCACTTTCATGGATGCATTAAGTTTTGGGAAATCATCAGCATTTTATTAAAGGAAGCAACTGATCTATTCATTTTATTATCCTTGACCTTGTTCTCTGACTTATCCAATAAGTATTATTCCTATGCCAATTTTATTACATCTCTCATTCTTGAGGGAGTCAATTACCAAAAAGGGGGCAGGATAGAGATGCAACAATTGTTTAATGTAAGGATGCTTTTGACAGCAAACTAGTGGGGAGGGGGATTCGAACACGGGTACACCCTCTTGGGGAGTTGGACGCTTTACTAACTAGGCCACTAAGTAATGCCCAGATGCTTTTGACAGCTGAATGACTTTCTATTTTTCACACTACAGCTATGGAATGACTTTAACAGCAGTTAGGGATAGAGGATAAAATGAAGGAAATGAAGGGAGACAATTAAAAAAAAGGAGGAAGAGCGCGCCCCTATGGACCCTGTTTGTTAGAGGATAGAGGAACACAGACCTTACAGATTTCACTTACCCCCAAAATTGGGCAAAAATTGAACACAATGCATCTTCCTTCCCATTCTTACTTTTTAACTAATAATTGGTATGGACTATCAAATCACTTGGTACAATTTTTTTTTTCTTTCTATTTCCTTCATATACAACCAAACAACAAAAGCAAGAAATCCCTCTCTTTCCATATACCCCTTCTCCATTCCTCACACCCCTTCCACTCTGTTCAATTTCCATCTCCATGCCAAACAGAAGAAAAAAAAAATGTAGCAAGACAAGAAGAAAGGAGGAAATACAAAGAAATATGATGTAATAGAATATCTTCAACAGAGATTGAGATTCATTGAGGGAAGTGGAGGTCCATCAGCCCACCACATCACCAACTCAACAACAAAAACAAACATGACTTGCTTTCCTTTTTTGAAAATTTTGCATCTAAAAGTTAAGTGTAAGATGAAAAAGATGATGTAATATACCTGCTGCAATCAGCCTAGAAATTAAATGGTAGCGATTTAGAGGTATATACTAATGTATGACACTCTTAAAGGTACCTGAAATATGGAGATCAAATTGAATTATATAAGGGCATTGCAGTAAGCATTCACTTACTGGGAAGAGGAAACCACAAGTGTTACATGTATGTCGGGAGGGAGAGAGTCCACCAAAAGGAGAATTGACCAGCATTCAATTAACAAAAGTACAGGGATATAGACAATGCACGTGAATTATGGACATGTTTGAATTCAAAAATGGATTATGATCAAGGGCCTAGGCACAAAAATAAGATTTTAATGAGCCTGTAAAAAAAATAGCCTGTTTCACATGCCATGCTGTCAATCTGGATAGCTGACAAATAAAGAGAGAATATGGAATGAGAGATTTGCAAAGAACAGGAGTACTTAGTAAATCTCACTTCCACCGCAGAGACTGCCTTATCCCAGTGTAGATGAGTCCTAAAGACCGCCCAATCAAGCAAACTAGAAAGAATGAGATGGCATCCCTGACTTTAGCAATAACTGTTCTAATCAATGGCATTGTAATATCAGCTAACTCAATGATGAGACTGAAGTAGTACCTCCTGCAACCAGAAGAAAGAATAACCATAATTGGCAACCCATTTTCTTAGGGCTCACAACCATAAGTAAAAGAAAGTTGAATGATGCGTCAAAATATATAGGAAGAGCTGGTATCATTAATGTTCCATCATTTGATGCAGCTCCAATGAAGCATTGGTGAATTTCCTATCTCAATTCCTTGGATTTTTTTTTTCAAGTGTATGAGAAACCCAACCACTAATAGAGTTTAACTACAAGGGTACACCCATAATATCTTAACCCCTCAACGTCAGACACCATGCCTTTAACCAAAAAAAGAATTCATTCTCCTAATGAGGATTTTATTGTGAAGTCATTAATCTAACTTCCACCATCTACATTGTTACAGATACTTCCTCACTTGCTTTACATTTAGTCTTCTTTAAATATGATGAAACCATCTCAACAAGCTGTCCAACTAAATGCTTCATAAAAGCAATAGAATCTGTATTTTAATCAGTCTTCTTGCTGTTCATCATATTTTCCTGCTAGTTATATTTAAATGACCATCACACTCACCCAAATGCACATGTCCACTTTAGCCACCTACCTCCAGTCCTATGAGCTACAGGTAAGGGGTGCAAGTTGGGCGGGTTCAACCCGACCCAACCTGAACCCAGCCCGAGTTATAGCTATTCTAACCCAACCCTGACCAGAAGTCGGTTTAGGCTCGGGTTGAAAGTTTTAACCGCTTCTAACCCAAAACCCTAATTGCCCATATATATATATATATATATATATATATATTATATTATATTTTAAATTTTAAGATTAAATCTTACCCCTTAATTCATTTGATCCTACGGTTCTTGAAAAAGCATATTATTCTTTAATCCTAACAAAGAGATGGGGAACGGTACACTATTTGAACCACTACGCCGGTCAAAAATAATCCTCCCACATCGGCCATCCCCAGAGAATCCTTCCCATAGCCGCCGTCGCCACCATCACCATCTTCTCACCATTGATCATCTTATATATTTGAGGATGGTGAGCCTGGTTCATTTTTCTTGATTGTGGTGTCTTGTCTTGGGATGGTGGTGTTTGTGAAGCCATAAATGATGGGTAGGAGCATAGAGAGGTTTCTGTTTCTTGAACTCGTCAAGCTTTCACTCTTTCAGAAGTAATTGAGAGTGGGAATTTTAAGAGAGAAATTTAGATAGAGAAAGTGGGTGGAAGCTTGAGAGGTCTCTGTTTCTTGAACTCATCAAACATTCATTGGGAGTGGAAATTTTAAGACAGAATTTTAGATAGAGAAAGAGGGTGGAAGCTTGAAAGTGGAATAATGGTATTGAAGTGAAGAATTAATTTTGGGATAATTAGAAGAGGTGCACAGAAGTTCGTGGAAAGATCTGATTTTTTTTTTTTTGACAGGAGAGATCTGGAATTGGGAATTTAGGTTCTAAAGAGAGAGAGAGAAGGGAGAGGGGAAGAGAACATAGACAGGTTCGGGCCACCAGACAGAACCCGAGTTTGGTTCGGAATCTGGCTGGGTTGGGCTGTTACAAAGTCGGGTTAGAGTCAGGCCCGGACTGGGCCTGCCCAACTTGCACCCCTAGCTACAGGGAACACCCCCCTTTTTTTTACAATGGAATATCAATTTAAGGCCCAAATCAGGAAAAAGTCAAGCCAAAATGAATAAGTGTGGTAGAGTGTAAAGTATCAGGTGATCATGCACATGCAACCTAATGCATCCAAATATAGAAGAAATGTAGGGCAAAGAGATAAAAGTATACCAGCCAGTCAAGGCCCTTAATTCCCTGGTCCGCTTAACAGGTATGGAGACATAGTTGATCGAAGCATAACATAATGGCAATAACGTGGATTTAGAATTACTCCGGGTAAGCTTTTTCCACCAACTAATTTTTTCAGTCTGGCTCTTGCTTGGTTCCTCAATTAGCTGGCTCTGAAGTATGCACAGGTCAAAGCGATCTTCATACATTGACACAACTGCCTCCATGTTCTGATGCAACCACTGATTCAGTGCCACCTGTTAATAGAAGCATAATTTTACCAATTAAAACGTGAAACTATTTTTCCAATATTCCCATTATCTCGTAGGAATAAAATCATAAACGAATAAGATAAGTTTACAGATCGTTTCTCCTGGACCATGAATAATTATTAAATATGGAAAACTTACACTGACCTTCTTAAGCCGTTAGTTAAAAATACAACCACCTCCCTTATGTTTTTGAAAATTAAACTGTCCTCACTTGTACATCCTGTCATTTGAAGGAGTTAACTGAAATTGTGAATTTACCAGTTTACTCTCTCATTTAAAAAAAAATTAAAAAAATTATTTGCCCATTCTTGAAAACACTGAAAGCTTGTTAATATATTTTCTTAAACATCTTAATTTGAAAATATATTTCCTTAACATTCACTTAAAGCAGGCAGACTAAAATGCCTAATCAATAACTTAATATGCAAAAGTAACACCAATTAACAATCCCCTAAAATTATCACTTCTTATGCCATTTCATAAATGAATGTGTATGGGATGGGTTCAGTGCTCCAAAAAGATACCAACTTCTCTCACATAATCCGTAAATAGTAGTAGTTATCTGTCTCAAAATGTACTCTTATTGTCTCACTCGAAACAATACCATTTGTCTTCATGTCTAACTCAAAACAGCAACACTTGTCTTCAAAAATTAAGAATTCCAAGTAGTAAATTCTACAATTTAATTTGTTATTTCCATTTTTTTTTTTTTTTTTTTGAAATAGCTACAGATATTTGTTAATTAACAGCATGAAAAAACGTGAAAACACAAGACCTAGCACATAACTCTTATTCTAAAGGGAAAAAAGATTTCAGGCTTCAATTGTTAAACACAAGCAAATTTGTTTTAAGTTACGCATTCCAAAGCTTCTGATATTTTAGGTCCTGTTCAGTTCTCTAGAAACAGCTTTCAAGAACAGAGAAAACCGTTTTCAGAAACTGTCAACCAAACAGGCTTTTTTTTTTTACATTTTTCAGATTTTCAGTTCTCAAAAAACAGAATACTGTTATCTGAAAACTGAACCAAGCAGACCCTTATTATCTCCTTCAACACTTGAAAGATCTGAATGGATATGTACATTGTGAAATCAAATCTTGGCTTTAACCTTACTCTAGCCAACAACAATACCTCCTAAGGCTCTGATGCAAAAAAAAAAAAAAAAAAAAAAAACTTCAAAGAGAAGTTAGAGGCAACGATGATTCAATGAAACTAAACATAAATAAGACACCAGAAAAAATAACTTTTGGCAGCTTCCTCCGGGGCTCACCGAAAAAAAAAAAAAAAAGACCATTTGATATAGAATCAACATATTGCATGGGATAAAAAGAAACAATCATAATACTATCATACCACAAGATAACAGCTATACCTCATTGCGTAATCTCTGAAGTGCTCGGGTTGACAAAGTACACAAAAACGAACCGAGGCTAATTATTTCATTTGACATGTTACCATCAACAGAAATAAGCTCTAAATACATGCTTGCAATCCCATCTGCTACTGTAATCACCAAATCTTCTAATATGGCAACCCCATGCAGGGTAAACAAGCTATAATCATACCAGCAACCCTCTCTGCTAGAACATAGATGAAGTTACAGTAAGGTCTCTCCTCAAAACATAAAATACAGACTTGGTAGAATCCACTGAAAAATAAATTTCTTACATAATCTCGACCTCAACGGCTATGTGCTCAAACCAAGGCTTGTGCACACGGTATTATTTATTATACAGATATGGAGCAGTAAATAAATAATTTAAAAGTATGGCAAACAAATGGAGTTCAAGAATCCATACATCGAATTAGGATAAGTTTGTCACATAAAAATAGTAGATCTACTCAAAGTTCACAACCGAAAATATTATTCAATTGATTATACTCTTTACCAAGGTACTGCATACTGAAAGTAAGTAGTGTTCTGGATCTGATGTATTATTATTACAAGTAAAACAATAAAGATGCTGGAAGTTCAGACTATGGTAAAAAAACAAGGCAGACATAGGGGAGAGATAGATATTGGCAATAATGGCAACAAGGCAATAACAGAACCCCAGCATACAGCACCCTATTTCTTCTTTAGAAATGAGGCAAAGGGATTTTTTCTACCGATAGGAGTCCCGGGTACATGAACTCCACCTGTGTCATCTTTACACAGCTAGTCTCGAGTCCGGAAAAAGGAGGGGGGTTGCATTAGGTAGCTTGACAGCCAGCATAAAACTTTTATTGTGACCACTATGAACATGAATCCTATGAGTATATGAGGGTTCCAAGTACAGAAAACAACCGGAAATAGATGTAGAACATGCCAAAGAAACTTAATCTCCTAGATGCATAGTTGTTAAAATTCCAATCTACTATCCTACTTCCAAAATGAATTGTAGGCCCAAATAAATTTTATCATTTTAAATATAAAGCCCAACTCTTTAGCCTAATTGCATTAAAAAAATAAAAAATATAAACAAAAATCAGAGTCCCAAAGTCAAATGTAGAGACAATCCAACTCTGAATTTCAAGGGTATGCCACAAAACTTTAAAAATTTCCTCTATTTTGCTTTATTCTTGTTAATTTTTCTTTCTTTCTTTCTTTTTCAAACAAGATACAAAAAGAACTCTATTTTCTTGCCAATTATTTGTCCATTTTGAAACAAAAACAGAGAGATTTCATTTTTTTCCCATTGTTCTTTCGATCTCCGTTTGGCTCTTTTTTGAACCAAAAAGTGAACTTTTCAACTAAATTGCTCAGACAATTGAGCCAATAAATTGTATTTTTCTCTCTGTTCTTTATTTCCTTTTTCTGTTCGTTAGGCTTTACTTTAATTTCTTCTGTGAGAATATGTTTCATTGTCATGCTTATGCTAGGAAGTCAAGAAATTGATTTCAAGTGTTTTTCATGTGTCTTAGTATAATTTAATGTTTATTGATTTTGTTATAATGTCTCATATTAGTTGTTTAGCCTTATTCTCTACTTATATCGAAGATATTTGATTTAGAAAGATGGTTTAAGTTACTTTTCTAATAGTTTTCAGAATCTCACGATCTTCGATCCGATCCTATGATCCAGATCCTATGGACCCCTCATTGATCCTACATAGAATCCCGATCCTAACAACCATGCCTAGAGGAGAAATAACTAAAGGGAGAATCTAGCGAAAAAGAGTGCCTATAAACAAAGCAAAGAAAATGTTGAGCTTGACATACCTTGTATATACTCTCTAAGACCAGCCAAGACGTTTAACCGCAATGAGGAATAACCTTGGCAAGCCCTCAATTCCAACTATCAAGACAAAACTCCTAGGATCCCAAAAATGACCGTGATATAATCAAAAGATCAGACAGTGGTCTCGCACTGAGCTCATGGAGCTCCCTGGACCCTGTCTCTGACCTACACATGTATTAGACACATCACAGTGTATGCACGTAGAGGCATCTTAGGTGGGGCCGAGGCATCATTAAGCAATGTAAATTTATCGACTTCTTCAATAGACTGATTAACTGAATATTCATTATTACAAAAGCATGGCTTTCCATTACAAAGATCACAACTGTAATCAAATACTCCGCATCAAATTCTCCTTGTATGTCTACCCCGTATCTTCCATTTTCCAACCTAAACACAAAGTTCATTCTTCTATGTATGCCCATTTAGGTGGCCAATGAAACAACATTACCCAATGTATCTCCCACCTATACAGGATAGTAGGAGGAGAAGACCAGAGATATAGACCTAACATTTGACATTATTTCCCAATTTGAAACTCCCATCCGTCCTCCAGCTTGCCACCAAGTTTTTACCATTTCACCAAGTAGTCTCCCCATAAATATTAACCTATCCATCTATCCATGCAAGGTGCCCTATACATAATCTCATAAATGATCCATATTGTCACAAATTCGAACCTTCGTAAATGGTGCATAACTTCAGGAGCCTATGCGCCAACTAATAATTGCATATACATATGATTAAAATTGTTGATAAAATCAAAAGATCCAAAGAATTCATTTGTTTTAATATGGTGAAAAAAGTCATCACTTCATATACGGGTTTAATAGCACCTCGCTGTAGATTTTCTGAAGAGGCTTAACGTGCTCAACTCAACTCAACAAAAAATTTCCTAACTATTTGCGATTGCTAAACAAATCCTTCATTCCCTCTAAAGACCATAGCATCATCTAAACCACATGTTACCATACCTTTCCTAACTAGCTCATCACCCAAATTAGTTTTTATATTTCCTCTCTCCTAGAGTTCCTTTCAATAAGAACCGCATCACATTACCTAGTTGGTGTAGCGCTATTGGTCCTCAACGCACAAACCCAAACTATCAACCATCTCACGAATATCCTCATTTCTAATTCTCTCTCTCTCATTTTTTTGGTCTTGTTACACATCCATCTCAATATTCATATTTTTTTACATACTCATTTTGAGTTATTTGTTTTTAGCTACACAAAATTTTGTCCCTTAAAGTATATTTCCTCTCTCCCAGCGCTACTTTCAATAAGGACCACATCACATTACCTAGTTGGTGTAGCTATTGGTCCTCACCGCACAAACCCAAACTATCAACCATCTCACGAATATCCTCATTTCTAATTCTCTCTCTCTCTCTCTCTCTCTTTTGGTCTTGTTACACATCCATCTCAATATTCATATTTTTTTACATAGTCATTTTGAGTTATTTGTTTTTAGCTGCACAAAATTTTGTCCCTTAAAGTATGGCTAGATTAATAGTCGTTTTATAAAATTTACCTTTCAATTTTAAACGTATTCGCTGATCACAAAAGATGGCAGAATCACTCCTCCACTACCTCATATTGATTTAGTTTTATGATTAACATCGCCCCCAATTTTTCCCTCTCAGAGCATAATCTAGCCTTGATAATGAAAATACACTTTCCGGTATATCTTCACCCTAAATTTTTATTATATCCATAATTCTATTTTTATTTTTACTAAAGTTACATTCCATATATTCAGTTTTAATCCTACTTATCTTAAATGCTCTACTTGATTCTAGAACTTCTCTCTGAACCTCTAGTTTAGCACTTGTATATGCTCTAGATTCCACAATAAAAACAATATCATCAACAAATAACATCCACCATGCAAATAGCATGTTAAATGTTTTCAATTTTAAAATTGGACATGAGACAGGAAATTTCACAAGTACCATATGGCCTATGACATCCGCTAGTCCTTAGAAATTAATTACCCAAGGCTCTCCTCTATTTTAAAAGAACTTAAAAATGAGTTTGTGACTGATCTCTTTCACTTTATTGATCCTTCCTAGAAATTATGACAGCTGTGTGTAAAAAACAAAAAAGTGGAATAAAAAAAGTGATGGAACCCAGTTGATCCAATTAATTGATTAACAATTTTAATTTTTAAGCCACAAGTAAGCAATCAAGCATAATATATATATTCACATCTGATATCTTCAATACTACGATAATTTAGGGTTGAACTGGTCAGAAGATGCCAAAGGTTGAATCGTCAGCCAAACCAATTGAACAAAACTAGTGCTCTCACCATTTCAACTTATGATCGAGTAATTTTATTTTAAAACATGGCAATTGCATAATCTGATGACTCTTCTACAGCTCACAAACTATATACTGACGTCTGATATCTTCAATACTACAAGTAATTAGGGTTGAACCTAAAAGGAGCTTTTCCCCACAGATTTTATCATCAAACTTACAGTATCTCTTCCGTTCATTAAGGTGATTCGTCTAGATGCCAACCAAATTCGAAACTTCAAATAATTTCCACAAAAGGTTAACAAAGTAGACAATATAGCAGCAAACGGAAGCCCCAAAAATATTTCTCATACTTTCATGTATACTTGTGTGTGTATTCAAGAAAACATGAAAATCAATTATTCACCTTTTCTACGTTGTAACAAGCACTTCCATCTACTCCTACTCGTTTAACTCAGAGAGAATGTGGTTCAAAATCTTTTAAAGATCTTATCACCAATAGTTCTATGTTCAATGTTTTCTTTCAAGTATTAGTATGCAACAACACAAGAAGTGATAATCATAACTAAATGTACCTGGGAGAACCAAATCTAAGAAAGTATAACAATTCAGCATAAAGATCTTCCTTCCCTGACTTTCTTATGTTCTGAAAAATAATATCATCTCCATCCAACTTCTCAACCATTATAGAAATAAATGCCTGACAAAGAGAAAAATCCTATCTCAACATGCTATTTGCAGCAACATCTACATTCTATATATTATAATATGTTCAGTTTTCCAAGGAACCTTGTCAGATTTGCTGTTCTTCAAGCAAATCTCCTTTTCCAGCCAAGCCATGCATACAGGCTGACAGGACATCTGAATGATTTCAGAGGAAACTGTCAGCCATTCATCCATGCGTACATTAGCGGGCCTTTCTGAGATATTGTCCACCTGTAAAAACATTTAGAAAAAATTATAACAAAAGACAACATTTTCAGGATGCTTTGAAGGCGACCAAAGATTTATCAGTCAAAATTAAAACACAACATCATTTTTTATTCAAACTAGATGTTAACCATGTGATGCCGCACTACATGATCTACATAAATTAAAAAGATAAATGCATTAAACCTCGCAAATTATAAATCGATTCTATAAAGAGAAGGCAACTAGTTAAACAAGCAAGTTCGCATGAGCTATTAACAATTGAGCATGTTATACGACACCAAATTGCTTTTACCACTGATATTAAATTATTAAAAAAAAAAAAAATCTGTCTCTAAAGTAATCTATAATCTAGTTGTCGCAAAGTTTTACTAATTGAAAACTATTTTAACGAGCTCCATATGGATCCTTGCCAAATAAAGATGAACATAAAAGGTAATAAAAAACAAAGGCTTGGCAAAAAGTAAAAATTTGGCATCAAGTAGAAGACAATGTAGAATGGTAGCTGGAAGACCCCCAAACCCATTGATTTAGGGTCAAAACATATTGATATTAAACCTTGCTCACTGCTCACAATCCTTGGGATGGCTTACACCACCACTAAACTCGCAAAGAGTTATAAAAACCATTTTTGAAAAGTTATAGTTTGTTTTGCACCAGGCCATTTTCTACATACACTTGAAAGCCCTAGCAGCAAAGAAAAATATGGTGAGGCTCAAATTTTCTTTCTAATAGGTAATAAAGCTACTGAAAGTATAAAATTGAAGTGCAAAATCATCAATAGCGTGGATTACTAAGTAATCTTCCAAGGGTTTGGGCGCCTTGCAGAGCCCACACAATCAACTTGAATAGTAAAACCAGGTATTGTATATTGAATAGAAAATTAACCGATGAAAAGAAAATCTGTCTGAAGTACCAAATAAACCTAATGTTCTGAAATTAAAATTCCAGGTCATCCTTGTGAAAATCCATCCATATAATCATTCACATAATTGAATCGTGCAGCATGCTACACCGATTATTTTGAGAATTGAGTAAGAGTTGTTTAACAAGAAGAGCGGCATTTAAAATTAGTTACATAAAGTAACACTATACCTGCAACATTTATGCATGGATTAGAATATATATATATATATATATATATATATTTCAAACAGAAAGCTTCAAGATAAACTCAAGCTAAGGCAACAAAAAATAAAATAAAATGAGAACAAGCATATGCCATTGTCTTCTATAAAATGCACTTTTCTCAAAAGCTATCTTCTAATGTCACAACAAACTATGAGTTCAAATGTTAAATATAATCTCCTTTTTCCTCTATATTTAATTATTCAAAATTGCTCAATGTTTATAATTTTCAAAATCTCTCATTTTTAATTCATTAAAGGAAAAGGCCCATTTCCACTAACAATAATAAAGGGAGACAATGTAACCATAGTATGAAAAGAAACTAAACACGGTGCCTACCTCTTTCCTCAGCTGCATGAAAGAAGCCAATAGCAACCGTAACATGGGACCCTCTGCTAGAGCATACAAACTCAAAGGTCGCTTTACACGATCTGATTCAAATTCAAGAATTCTGTTTTCTAGATTAACCACATGTTCAATGGCATTTAGAGAATCCATGAGTTTCTCTTTCACGATATCCCAAGGAAACTTTAAGTCAAACTCCTCATCATTCTTCATGGCACTGCAATTAGAGAAAAATATCTCAAGTTTCAATTAGAGACAGGTCAGATGCAAATTAAATCAAAGCACTGTAATCCTATGTTCAGCTAGGCAAAGAGAATTATCTAGATTAAAACAATCTTTCACCTAGTAAACTTTCATATGCTTACGCTTACCTACCAGAAAAGGTAGATCCTTCAGGGACCGCATTGTTATTCAAGATGTTCTTTCGAGAATCTAAAAGAGACTTCTCAGCGGGTATTACTCCAGCCATATATGTAAGGAACACACTGGCCATTAGAAGCACTTGATCAACAACAGGAACCCAGTCAGAAATAGTTGCAGCATCAGAATTTACCACAGTCCCAAAGCAATAGCACTTCACAGAAGTCTCCTTAAGACAAAACTTTACTTTCAGATTAGCAACATGGGAAGCACTGAGTTTGTGGACCTTCCAGGACAAGAGTGTAGTTTTACAGCTCCCAGAATGCTTCCTGTTACTACAAAAACAAAATAAAAAGGTAAGAGTGGTACGTTTTATAATACTTCAGATTCTGGAGGTAACATAAGGTATGAAGCCCACCTTAAAAAAAGTAGTTTGCGTCCATGGCAATGACACGCATACAAAAATAAGAGACAAAAAAAAGAAGGAAAAACCTACCAAACTTAAACCCCAAAATACAATACTAAGTTATAGAATAACCATTTCTTTATGGGCCATTACTTGGTGAATAGTAAAAACTCGTGCTGCCAAACATGAGAACTTGGATTCGAATCTAGTGGCAGCCACTTGATGCAAATAATGCCACGAGTTAGGTCCCATGCCAGCAGCAGTGATACTAAGGGCCCTCTTTATGATAAAATATTAGCCAAGCTATCTGATAGCTTTAATGGTGTACTAAGTGAAATTGTTCAATGATCTACCACGAATGGTCGCATAAGCAACCAACTGGCAACGATTCTTGCCTATCTGCTCTTTTTTCTTTGCTAGGAAATCCCTGTTTATTCTATCAAAGAGATTATTTGCAAATAATTATAAATGCTTATGACTAATCAATATTCATAAATCACAATGGTTTTTGGACGACCCAACCCATTCTTCAATGCAACCTAGATTCTGATATATAAATAAGGAATCAAAGTAATTAAGCAAGAGAATAAACCTTTGTAACCAAGATTCTTATATACAACTAAGGAATCCAAGTGATTGAGCAAGAGAATGAAACCTCTGTATGTGACTATGAGAATATTTTGGTCCAACACACTGCTCTTTGACACGATCTTCTCGCATATACAGGCTGATTCGTGATGGTACAGACACACATTTTGCCATTTGTAGAATTATCTATCCTCTGATCAACACATTCTCTTGCTCACTTATGAATAGAACAATACTCGAACAACCCAGCTACACATATAACTGCTACTGGAAACAACAACTATAAATAATTCAGTTTGCAAAGCCCAAAAAACCAAGCAACAACAGACATATGAGTTATTTCGCCGTAATATCATTCGTCTAAAAATAAAAAAAATAAAATAAAATAAAAAAAGGGAGGTGGGAAGGACCCCATGCTTAGAGAAAAGTGGTCTTTTAGAAAATGTAGCAAATGCTCAGACCATTCCCAATCTTTTTTTTATTAAACGAAAAAATTTAATATAGTCTTGTCAGACATGCTAGTATTAGATTCCCAAACATAGCTCACAACTATCAAAATAATTTTTGACATTCCATTATTAAAGAATCGTACAATGAAGGATTTTTTGATGTATAGCAGTACAAACTATTCTAACACCGATAATTAGCAGCTCAAATCCATCATTGTGTTTTGAAAGACATGTCACTAAGTGTAGTTTTAATGTGACTCAACAATCTTGAAATTCCACAATATCTAAACCAACAACATTGACATCAAGTACTACTTCAAAACAAAACAAAAAGAAAAGAAAAACAAAAAAAAAGAAAGAAAAGAAAAAGAAGCAAAGAAAAAGAAAGGCATATGAGCACTCAATCATCTAGTAAAATCGGGAAAAGGAGAGAGAGAATTCAAATCTATGTGATTCTTGAACAATCTTGAGAGCACTGGCACCGAAATAATAAACAAAAATCAAATGGAGAACAAATCGAAAGATAAATGTGAAAGCGTTTGTAGTTGAAGCCAGGACTCGTCGTGGATAAACTATTCCAACAGTACTCACCATCTCAAGTGACAATGCGCATCAAATAAGATGGAACCTGTATGCGACGCGATTATAGTTATAGGGTTCTCAAATTAATTAGATAATAAAAAAAAAAAATACAGTAACAATTAACAAGTAAATGGTGGGGATGACGAAGATTGGGTATGTGCGAACCTGGTTTGTTGCGTCAAAAAAACGTCGCCCCTTGTCTCTCTCTCCATTTCTATGAATATAACGGCGGAAACAAAATGGAAAAAAAATGAAAAAAAGAAAAGAAAAAGAGGTCATGAAATACAAAAGGAGGGTACAAATTTTGTGCGTTAAATAGCCGTCTAGTGAACCGACTTTTGTTTTGGTTAAGAAACTAATAATAACCGACTTTTGTTTCAATGTATTTTCATTTTTTTTAATAATTACATTTACTTCCTATATAATTTTTTTTTTAAGGCAATTGGGTGGGTAAAAAAATTTATTTTCATTTTTTTAATAATTACACTTACCTCCGATATAAATTATCTAAATAACATAGACTTCCTCTCTAATTTTAAATATAACACTCTGAACCATTAGGTCACTTATTATGAAATGATTTTTGTCTATTGATATTATGTTCAAAATTTACTTACAAACTGAAAATTTTAAAGAAATAGATATTCTTACATTAAAAAATAATAAAAGTATGATGGTTATAATAGTTATTTAACGTATTCGAATTAAAGTCAAAACTAATAAGAGATATCAGTGTTATTTTTGAAACTATAGAATGGTCCTCGTTAGTTAGACAATTTAAGTGTGATTATCCTTTGGATTTTTTTGTAGATGCATATATTTTTTATTATTTTTTTAAATAATATTTAACAACACTATGCTTAATGAGTTATTTGTATTAATTTTACGGTAGACTTTAGAAAGAAAAAAAAAAAATTGTGTATTTAATCATAATTTGTGTGTAATTAGTTTATTTTTTACTTTTTTCAATTTATCAAACACAATTGGAAAAGATTTATAAAATTCAAAACTTTTTTTTATTATGTTCAAAAGTGAGTATGCACACTAAATAACATGTTTTTTTTTTTTTTTTTGGTTAAAACTAAATAACATCTTAATTACCAAAGTTCACATATAAAATGCTGTGGTGGCGAAGTTAGCTAGAACATGTATCTATTCTCGGAATCATTGTTCTGGGCCAAACATATGTGTTAATTTTTTTTTTTTTTGAAAAAAAAAAAATAATTTCTGTCCACTCTTTCTCGACAGTTTAAAAGTCACCTTAAAAAAATTTGTAATGTTTTTATATTATATTGCATTCTATATGAAAGATAAAATTTTTATTTTATAAAATTTGGTCAAACTCGAGAAGGAAAATCAAGACCTATTAACAGATAATTTGTCCAAACTTAAAAAAAGTTGTATAATTTATTATTTTGAAAATCAAGACCTATTAACAGATAATTTGTCCAAACTTAAAAAAAGTTGTATAATTTATTATTTTGAAAATCAAGACCTATTAACAGATAATTTGTCCAAACTTAAAAAAAGCTGTACAGTATAATTTATTATTATCATTTTTTACGCTAGTGGGTTGGTCCGACCCAAATCATGTACCGTAATAATTTTTGGGTCTCTGGCTGTATCATCACCCTCATATTCCCAACTAATTATTACTACTTGTTTTTATTTTGTCCCCAAATAACAAATGGACCGGTCAAATGGGCATGACCCAACCGAAACAAACAAAGTCCGCTAACTAAAAAGAACCATCCACTGCGAACCCTAAACCTCAGTCATATCTGCAAAAACCTCTGTTGTCAGACGCCCTTTACACAGCCTCCTATCTCTCTCGCCGCAAAATTCATTTGAGGTGTGTATATTTTCTGAATCTTATGATCTCAAGCTCTAAATCTATATTCATATGTAATCGTTCTAATTTCCTTAATATTGGCTAGGTTTTCTAATCCAGGGCGCCGCACTAAACCTTAGACTTAAAGGATGGTGAAGAGGAGCAAAAGTATGTCAATCCAATCTTATTTTTTCCCTTTTTATTTGTCTATGTATGTATGGATAGATATAAATATCTCCATATATATATATATATATATATATATATATTGATATATTTTGTTTTGTGTTGCTGCTTTGTTAAATTGTTATACAATCAGAGAGCAAGAGTAAGAGAGTGTCCTTGAAGCAGAAGTACAAGGTTATACGGAAGGTAAAAGAACACCACAAAAAGAAGGCCAAAGAGGCCAAGAAGCTTGGCTTGAATCGCAAGTCCAAGGTCGAGAAGGACCCTGGCATTCCCAATGACTGGCCCTTCAAGGAACAAGAGCTCAAGGCTCTCGAAGCTCGTCGCGCACGTGTTCTCGAGGAATTGGAGCAAAAGAAAGCTGCTCGCAAGGAGAGGGTACTGGTTCACACATTGTCTAATAACTAGTGTTATTATTTATTCAATTATGTCCGTTTTTATCAATGTGGTGATTATACCTTTCTGGAGCATCTCAATTAGACCCATGAATGTCATAAATTTGCAATTAGTATTGATTGTTTCCTTTGATGGATTGGAAGAAATCTTTATGTTGAGCACTTTTTGTTGAGGTTTGTTCTGGGATGGATGTGTTGCCATTGTGAAGAAGGACTGTAATTAACTTGTTTGTTGAACCTACAATACATAATAGGGTCTGGTGTGGTGCAAGACATGAAGAAAAATAACATTGAAAATTCAAAATAAATACTTAAATAAATGAAAAATCAATTGAAAGTAATTATTAGGATCTTAAATAATTTGAAGAACTGTGGTGGAAACTTTGCTTAAAATTCATATATATATATATATATATATTTTGTTAATATGTCCACTCCTTTTAGGGTTTTATAGGTTCAGGATGACCTTGATGGTAATTTGTTTATTCTATCATTATTGATTCAATGTGCATTCTCCTCAATGATTGTTTCAAGGTTTTAGGCTTTAAATAGCACTTTACTGTTGCATCTGGATATGCATTAGACAAATCACAGTTTATTTGTGTAAGTTGCTACAGGGTTTATTTGGCTGAAGGTAGGACTGTCTCATACATGTTAGTTACATTGTTAATTGTAGTGTCTGTCTTTTTTGTTCTTATTCTTATCTTCTTTACACCTTTCTGTTTACATTCGGTTTTTGGATGCGAATTTTTTGTATCATCTGCAAACCACAACGTCCTTTCTAGTTGACTAAGACTCTGGGTACTTTTCAGGCTCAAAAGAGAAAGTTGGGTTTACTAGAGGATGATGATAACTCCAAACTGGATGGTATAGATTTGGCCAAAGAAAAGGCTTTTGATGATTCTGTTGGAATTGGTAAAAGCCGGGGTATGTTACAATTTCATGTGCTTGTAGATGCACTTTGGTTGATAGTTTTGTTACCTCCGTTTGCTTCCTTTTTCCCCCTGTTTTAACAGTACTTTGTGTTGTGCAGATAATTATGACAGGGCTTTCTACAAGGAATTGGTCAAAGTCATTGAAGCATCTGATGTCATTTTGGAAGTGCTTGATGCTCGAGATCCTCTTGGTACCCGTTGCATTGATATGGAAAAAATGGTAATGAGAGCGGGTCCTGACAAGCACCTTGTGTTGCTCCTTAATAAAATTGGTACTCTCTCTCTCTCTCCCCCCACCACCCCCCAAAAAAAGAAAACAAGTAAAGAAAAGAAAATAAATAATTGTGAGAGGATCAACCATGACATGATTTGGGTTGCCCATAAGAGTTTTGAGTATATGAGATCGTATGCTTGATGCAACCCTATAATCCATAATATATAGACTAACATGTAGCATTCAGACAAATTTTTTTTTTTTTTTTCATAGTTGATACTGACGCACACATGCCTCCATGGAGGCTTGAATTCTTGACCTCCCTTTGGAAAGTAAGGGACTAATACCGCTAGGCCACTGGCCCGTTGGTATAGCATTCAGACATTTGGTTGCACAAATTTCATCATCTTGACCAATAGTGATGTTGATTTTTCACTTGCACCACAGATCTCGTGCCTCGAGAAGCAGCTGAAAAATGGCTCAAGTATCTCAGGGAGGAGCTACCAGCAGTTGCCTTTAAGTGCAGCACACAAGAGCAGAGGTCAAATTTGGGGTGGAAATCTTCCTCAAAAGCAGCAAAATCAAGCAGTATTCTGCAAACCAGTGACTGTCTTGGAGCTGAAACTCTTATTAAATTGCTGAAAAATTACTCAAGAAGCCATGAGGTACATTTAAAACTTTATTTACTTCGATTCAAGTTATTGTATTCTGCCATTAGTTCCGTGAATTTTCAAAAGTTCTACCTTGAAAATTCCCTCTTAGTTTTTTTTGCAAGTGCTTTAGAATTGTGCTTTGCACGAAAGTGCATGCACGTGCAAGACTGGAAGCCAGTATAATATAGAGATGTGCATGTGAGCACTCACTCACTTGCTCAATCCCTTAAGCCACCTAGTCATGGACACTCCTTTACACACATGCACACAATAATAGCCCTTGAAGAGTATGGTGCAAAGCTCCCAAACTTGTGGTTTGCCAGAAGTTTTGTAGTTCATCATGATCTGGCTACGACGCTACATAGCTCCATTATGAATTTGTAATGCTTTAGAAGTTCTGTTTGGAACCAAAAAGGTAGTATTGAAGAACTGGTGTTGTATGTGTAAAGGGGATGAGGAGTCGGTAGATAATCTCCTTCTGCACTGTCCGATGACTAGAGATGTGTGGGCCATGTCTTTTTTGTGCCTTTTGGTGTTCATCACTTTATTGGGCCTCGCTGGGTTTTATGAGGGACATGCTCAAGGCTTGGGGAGATTGTTTAATGGGTAGTCAAGTCCGAGATACTTGGAGGCCATCCCCTCTTTACTTCTTGTGGGGTTTGTGGTGCAAGAGGAATAGGAGGTCCTTTGATAGTGAGGAAGTTCATATTTGGGTGTTAAAACATTCCATCTTGAATTCTCCATTTTTTTTTTTTTGGTAAGTAGATTTTGAATTCTCTATTTTTTGAGAATTTAGAGAATTTTTTTTTTTTTTTTTTACTTATAAAAAAAAAAAATTCTCTATTTTTTGGGGGTAAAAGGGTGGTATTAGAAATCGTTGGAGGACTTCTTAAATTTTGTGGATAGCTTGAGAGTTCAGTGAGCTTGTTGAAGGTCTCTCGTGCAATTGTTCTTTTGGATGTGCTTTCCCTTTGGGCATTTTGGATGAAATTTTACTTGATTAAAAAAATTATTGTGGGCTGAGTTAAGTCAGGTCTTTTTATAATTTTGACTGCTTTTACTCAAAATTCAAGAGTATAAAAATATTCTCATTATTAATTCATTTGATATCAAATGGCTTAGCCATTCTGATCCTTGTGATTATCTAATCTGGATTTCCTTGGAGTTATATGTATTTTGCAACAATCGCATAGGGTCCCAGGTTGTGTTGACTACAGTGTTACTGTTACCTCAGCCTAATGCCCCCTTTTTCTTTCCCTTTAGGGTGATGTCGGTGGACTATATTTATTTAACTTGCTCCTACTGTTACTATTTCTAAGTGGGGTCATCCATGCTGCCTAATTTTGGGAGCCTAATATTATTATTTATCATTTTGCTAAAGTTTGGTAAAAGTAGGGAATTTTGTTGGTGAAGCTGTAAGAAAAGGGGATTTAAGTAGGGAAAGGACGACGGATGTTGTGGGATGTTTTTGAGCAATTAACACTCTTTCTGAACGGTAATTAGAGGCTGCTGGTGTTCTTACTGCTATGGTTGAATGGTCAAGGATGAAAATGATTGGACTTATCTTCAATGTGTTAGGTTGCTAGATACCCAGTGAAAGGTTGTTGGAATTATGGATAGTGCCTATTTTAGGGTTTCGGGTATTAGGGAACAGGCAGTATCACAGAAAAGGAATTATGATCATGGAGTAGATTTTGAGGTTTATAAATCATGAAATTAGGGTGGATTGTGAGTAAAATTGGAAAATATGCCACTAGATTTAAAGAAAAGAAGAAAGTAGAAGAAGATCCTCGAATCAGTCCTAGGTTTCCTTTAGCATAACTGATAAAGCTATAAGGGTTTAAGTTGCATCACACAATCCGGAAGGTGTTTGGTGATAATTTAAATAAAGTACTTTTCACAATTAGGACTCATCTAAATGATCGAAGGTTCCAAGTGGGACCCGCTTTGATATTGAACCAATTTTCAGTATTCTGGCATTTCAGTTTTCTTTTTCTTTAGCTTGTAATAGACTACACTATATTTTCATTGATCTTCTTGTTGAAAGTCCTTTAGAATAGTAGATTTGTTGTCCTTGAGTATACCTTCTTGCTGATGCAAGACATTCTGGTCTGGAATGTGGCTGATTAAACCTCAATGAACTGAGATCTCTTTTAGTTGGTGAAAATATTTGAATTGTATGTTCTGATTGTTTCCAGATCAACCACCAATAATGTAATTTATGTAGAACCACTTGCAATAACAGTGTGATTGGTTTGCGAAGATCTGGTTACGAGCTATGGCTGTACTATTTTGTCGAGGATTTGACCTAGAATCTTGTGATTCTAAGAGCCAAAGGAAATGTACAATGCACCCCCCTCCTCCCACCAAAAAAGGGAAAAAAATTACGTGAATGCCATGCTATGAAGATCAAAGGGTTTTTATTTGGAATATATAGGGATTTCATATGCTTAATAAGAATTTTAGGAACCACTTTTTTTTTTTTTTTTGGGTGGCGGTGGTGGTGGTTTTTGGTTGTGTATCATTTTCTTTGGTCTTTTGAGGTGATGTACTTTGCCGTCAAATTTCTTTCATTGATCAATAGTACAAGTTCTCTTTCCTTTTAATTTTTTTATTCGTAATTATATTTGTTTCTTTGGTGGGCATATATTAGACGGCTAACCTTGTGAAATGTTTGGCAAATTTTGTATTTTTATCTAAATTTTTACTGTACTATCTGGGCTTTATGTCATTGTTATCATCGATTTTCACCATGTTTACATGTTAAACGCTCTCTTTCCGGCTTTTAAAGGTAATTGTTTCTGATTTGTCGCAGATTGTGCATTAATATTCTGTCTGTTTTGTTGCAAACTTTATTATGTTTCATGTTTGATACCACTGACTGTGCAGATTAAGAAGTCAATCACGGTTGGTGTTGTTGGCCTGCCTAATGTCGGCAAAAGCAGCTTGATTAATAGCTTGAAGAGATGTCATGTTGCAAATGTTGGCGCTACTCCAGGATTAACAAGATCCATGCAAGAAGTTCAGTTAGACAAGAATGTCAAGTTATTGGACTGCCCTGGGGTTGTAATGCTTAGATTGAACGATGCATCTGTTGCTCTTAGGAATTGTAAAAGAATTGAGAAGTTAGCTGATCCAATTGGTCCAGGTAGTTTCTATGACCTTATTTTTACCATTGTCCTATTATAAATTTTGGCTCATTTATTTACACCTATTATAAGAAAAAATAAATCCTAGTCATATTTTAACCATCTTGCGGTTTGTCATCCAATGTCACATTTTATATTTGATTTTCATATTTTATTAAGAGAAGAGTAGTGATACTTAGGCCGAAGTGTGATTGTGAATTGCTTGACTTACAACTTTGATTGGTCATGTGTTTACCAAATATAAAGGAGTGGGGGGTCCCACTTCCTTATATTTTGCATACATGACCAATCCAAAGTTGTCGGTCCAGCAAATCACTTTAACTGATCGGCCTAAAAATCATTTTCCTTAAGAGAAATATGAGTTCATAAATCGAACACTTAGATCCAATTGACTTGATATCTGCCTATCTGGCGTGCATGATAAAGCTATATATAATTCAGAAATATGACAACCTTTGTCTCAAATATAAATATATTTTTCATATTAATTAACAAGGCAAACTCTAAATTATCTTTTAGGCTATTACCAGACTAGCTTTTGACCTAGTATCATGGATTGTTGTGGTGGCATAATTGGCATTGATTAATTCCGTGATAGATTTCATACAACAAGTGGTATGATGTAGTTCTATTTGATGCGACCTGCACTTAGTCTAATCTGTAATGTATGTGATGGAGCCCTACATGGTGCAAGATGACTTTTTACTAGTATGTTACATGATTAGCCATCTCACTGAAAGCTGATCTTGATTTCATATCTTTATTTTATGTGTCTGTAATTATTTTGAAGTTTTGTTCTCTGGAAATAACAAGCATTTTACTATTGAGAATTTTTTATGCTTTGTTTTCTGAGATTGTAATTTCTTGAGTTTCACTGTCATGACTCTTGAAATGGGTTGTCATTATCATGAAATCATGGTAACTCATCTTTCCTCAATCTACTGGCTATGCAGTGAAGGAAATTCTCAACCTTTGCCCAGAAAGAATGTTGGTTACATTGTACAAGGTCCCAAGCTTTGAATCAGTTGATGATTTTCTGCAGAAGGTGGCTACTGTGAGGGGTAAACTCAAAAAGGGTGGAATTGTGGATGTTGAAGCTGCTGCAAGAATTGTTTTGCATGACTGGAATGAAGGTATGTGTAGCAGGCATTTATTTTAGTGTTAAAAACAAAACAAAACAAAAAACATGAAAATGAAAATTCATGTAAAAGGAATACAAATGCTTGGTTGACGCGATGCCCTCTACTTGTCACTTGCCAGGTAAAATTCCCTACTATACGATGCCTCCATCTAGGAATGAGGGGGAACCTTCGGAAGCAAAAATTGTTTCAGAGCTTGGGAGAGAGTTCAATATTGATGAAGTCTACAACAGTGAGTCTTCATACATCGGCAGCCTTAAATCTGTTGATGATGTAAATCAAGTTGAAGTTCCTCCAAATTGCCCTCTTACTTTTGATGAGAAGATGGTCGAGGTTTGTGGTCTCTTGAAAAAGTTACCGAATTTGTCAACTATTATTCTCCAATGTCTTGTCTTGACTTATATACCCTGAATTTAATCTATTTCATTGTGCAGGATGATGCACAGCAACAAATTGCCACACAGGGCGGCGACAAAGTCAATGACCTAATCGATGATGGTGCTGACGAGCTAATGGATTCTGAAGAAGATGCAGTTGAGACACACGCCAAAACCATTAGTAGCAAGCAAAATGAAAAGTTATATGCTGCTGAAGGCATCCTCAACACCAAGTTGAAGAAAGCAGAGAAGAAGAGACGGAAAAAAGCCAATAAATTATCAGCAGGGGGAGATGCCATGTTAGACGAAGATTATGATTTCAAGGTGGATTATAACAAGAGGGGTTCTGCCATGGATATTGGTGAGGACAGTGAGGTGGCTGATCTTGGCAATAAAAACAGATTTGAGTTGCCCATTTCTGGAGTCGACCTTGATAATGAGTAATGGGAGAAGTAGCCTTAGAGCAATATCAGGGAATATTTGTTATTGCCTCGGCTTCTCAGAGCCATGGCTTTGTATTTTGTGGAATTTTGATTAGTGATAAAAACAGATTGTGCACTGATCAGCTTTGTTATTTCAAAGTCAAAAAATTTTGTCATTCATAATATAATACGTTTAATATATATTTTTATGTGTCTCTTAAATTCTGTAAAAGTTTTGAGCTAACACCGTGTAGCCATTTTTGTGTACCATGAGTTTTGGTTCAGTTTTTTCTTTATGCAGCTCACAAAAAGAGAAAAAAAAATAAAAAATAAAAAAAATAAAGAAAAAGAAAAAAGAAGTGTATTGGAGGGTTGGGGTCTGTTCAGTTTCTTAAAACAATTCACAGCAATAAAAACAACTGAACCAAACTAATCCTAAAAACAATTCACAGATTTTTTTTTTATATCCAACATATATATATGTCCTATCCGACCTACCAACCTTACTTTCTTTTTATTTTTATTTTTTAGTTTATCAAAGAATTTGATCAATTTTTGTCAAGGATGGACCAAAGTTCTAAGACACCCTGCCAAAATTACCCTGTGAAGAAAAGAAACCAGACAATACTTGTTGAAGCCCATAAAATCTCACTATCATATTCATAGAACCAAAACTCATGTTGTACCCATGCTGCATTACATAAATACACGCTATCAAACTATTGTAGCATATATCTACAATCCACATTAGACACGAGGTTACAATAATTTCTTTCGATTTCACTTATCTTTTGAAAATTTAACAAGAAGCTTTTCCTGCAGCAGTAACTCCAGAAAGAAAAAAAGCATATGACATGGGACAGTTGATGACGTTATTTGTTGGAAAGAGAAAGATGCACTGCGAGTAGGGAATACATGCTCATACATGGAGATGAACAATCAATCGTCATTTGATACCCCTATAATGGGGTCTGGATTTGTTTCAGTAGGGGAGTCATTCGAGTTGGATGAGAGTGAAATTGCTGGAGCAGCAGCATCATCAGCCGTGGGTTCAGGTGTTGAAGTAACACTGTCGGAGACCTTTGATGAATACCCTGTAGATGACGTGGGAATGAGCCCTTGTGCTTCAATGGCTTCACGTGCTGCTCTCTCCTTTGCTTTTTTAGCTCTTTCCAACACCTCCTCCTGCATGAGTCAACTTATTTCAGAATATGCCTTTTTCTCTTAAAAAGTTCGTTATACACAAATCAATGGAGTGGGCAAGAAAATGATGCAAAAGCCTGCATTTGGTGATGGTGTGGGAACTGTCAATGGCCCTACGTAAGCTGATAAAGTTTTTCTTATACAATGCAATGGAGCCATCAATTTCCATGATTGTGAAATGGCTACCTCACTAATCAGAATAGTTCGATTTTCAACTTCTGAATAGAAACACAAGCAACGAAAAAGTTAGGACTCCCATATTTTTACACGGTTCCAACTCATTGCAATATCATGTAATCAAATGAACGAATTATTGATAGTCAAGGCATTTCAACAGGACACTAAAGCAAATTACAGGATAAAAAAGTTGAGACCTCAAAGCAGTAGTTTTAATTGCTTCAATCAATTTCTCATATAATCTTCGTTGAAAAACCACATCTAACACTATTTCCAAGCTTGCCTAAATCCTATTGATTCACTCCATAAATATTCACCAATGTGTTCTGGATAAACAATTATTTCATGAAATCTACAGAAATTGCCTTTCACGTAATGGATTTGCACAAAAAAACTTCATTAAAAAATAAATAAATAAATAAATAGAGTGATACATGGATATATATATATACACACACACACACACACATATCAAAAAATGTTATTTATATATTTAGTAGTACAGTATGCAACTTTGTGCAAATAATAACAAATGTTAGTTTATCCGTATTCTTCCCCTTCCAGTATGTCTTATAGGTGAGATATAGACTCAATAATGAATTTTAAGGAGACGAGATCGTGGGTTGAGGCTTAAATTGGCGAGATAGATAAAATCAGTGAAATGAGCAAATATGTTGGGTGTAACAGAATGTAGTTGATGGCTTGCCACAATTGTTAAGTTAATCTACAACACAAGAGGAACAACAAATGCCAGCCACACCATTTAAATTCAGAAAATAAATTCATACGAAGAGGATATATATATATATACACACACATACATATATATATATATATATAGAGAGAGAGAGAGAGATAGAGGAACTTCTTTGATTTTGGAGGTAAAGAAGTCGATTCTAACAACAGCCCTATTTGTTCTAAGACAGCATGAAATCAGGGAACAAAAGGTATGTCACATGCTCTTTGAGATAGCTGGTGCCATAAACTAGCCCTGATGTACTAAACAAGCATAGAAAGACACATATAAGCATGTCCGGCCTATTTTTTATAAAGTAAAATCCCTATCAATAAAGGAATCCAATATCCATCCTTCAGATAAAATACAGATTCAAATTTACTGCACTCTTTTCAAAATCTACTTTTCCCATTTCTCAAATGGAGTTTGGGTATTTTTTATTGTTTGGGAAAAATAAATCATCTCACCCAGGCAACTTTCATTTTGACATCAACTTCCAAGAAGAGTTTGGACAGAACCAAGCCTTATTATATCCAACTCAATCCAATCCTTTATTTACATAGCTAGCCATTGCATGATTGCAATGTTAGGAAGGTTCATCCACCAAAATGGACACGCCAATCTTCTCGACTTTGCTTTCCAAACAAAAAAACACACACACACACAAAATTTGCAATCCACAACTGCAGTCGAAACTTTTTGGAACTGCTTTTCTTACTTCGGAACCTTGAGAAAGATAATAAGTAACAGGTATTTAGAAATCAAAATACCTAACACAACTCCAGACCATTCTGAAACCATGTTGAACCTAACTGATAATGGCTGTCAAAGTAAAAGAAAAATAAAAGATTGAAACTTGTGTCAATTGGCATAGCTGGTAACACATGTTGTCAGTGAAACACTGAAACCGCATAATTGGATTCGATTCTTCCATGGAGCTTGGAAACTATCTCATCTACCAATCAAAAGTATAAAAATAAAAGCTAAAAGCCTTATTGAGAAACCACGTAGTACCTGAAAGTCCACTACTTGTTTTTGTTGCTCAGCCTGCAACCTACCCACTGAACTTAAAAACTCCCCAACTGTAGACTCAATACGCTCGCTGAGTGCTTCTGCTAGAGCCTTCCCCAAGAAAAATGCATCCAGAACACTTCTAGGATCATTCTCACCTGAAAAAATTAGCACATTATTACTTCACACTTCACATAGACATAAAGGAAGAAACATTTCCCATTAAGGATATCAGGCTACAATAGAGATCTTAATCTCAACACAGCCAATGTTAATAATATCGTTTCTCGAGTGACCAACAAAACAAGTCGTCAAACATCACATGGAAACACAACATGGAATGAATGGGCACAGAGAGTGAAACTGAAGCTAGACGTTTTTTTTTTTGGGTATGTAACTCAAGCTAGACATTTTTTTTTTTTTGGGTAGTAACTCAAGCTAGATATTGCTAGAACTTGTTCAGCATGCCAGGAATAAATTTTATATATGATAAAATGACACCATAAAACAAACAAGTGCGCTATTCTGCATGTTATTCACTCAAAGTAATGAAGTATTAACCCCAAAAATTGGTTTGCAAAGATACTATGTTTATGAAAAAGTCAGGCCATAGGTGGACCTTATACAACATCTTAGCTTGTTCACAAACTATCAGTAGTTAATAACTTGCTAAGTCCCAACCGTCACAGCTATGAGAAGTCTAATTCCCCACATATTCCACACCACCAAAACACCAATTGGTGCAAGATTAACATCATCATTCATTAAGATTCATTTCACCAAGATTCATTTCACCGAACCTTATCAAATAACAGTATCAAAATCAACTTCCTGATTAGAACATACCATTAAGCTACAATTCTATGTTGAACCTAAATTACATATTCAAAAGTTGAACTTCAATGATCCTAAGTTCAACATATCATTCCTAAAAGTGCAACTGGTACTAGTGCTTCTACACGAAAACATTTTCTTCCCCTTTTTTGACCGAAGTGATGCATAGAATCTCAATGAGGACATCCTCAATTCATAAACGTCTTCTAAATAGGTGCCATTTCAATTTTTTGTTTTCATGGGTAGATGACAAACTCATTTTATTGAGTTCACCCCCAAAACACAAGGTAACTCATCTCCTTGCCCAAAATTTTGCAGACCCTTCATATGTAGAAAATCAAAAACAGATTTTATTATGCTCAGAAATCCACAGGCCACATCATTCGACCACAGAGACACTTAAACAGTATAAGAGTTGACTTCTAGGAGAAAAAGATGGTGCCCCACCATTGTGGTAAACTCCCTAATTTGAAGCTCAGATAAGAATGATTGTATATATGCATCTATACGAATATATCCAAAATTTGGATTATCAAGAGAACAAAAATAGGTTCTGAGTTTCCAAAGTTCAATGAAATATAAACAGGAACGTAATCAAACAGCCCATAAGCAATTTGAAATAAACCCACCTCATATAAATGAACAAATAAGTGAATTTGTATATATGCATCTATACGAATAAATCCCCAAAATTTGATAATCATGAAAAAAAAAAAAATCGGTTCTGAGGTTCCAAAGTTCAATGAACTATAAACGGGAAGGTAATCAAACAGCCCACTAACCCTTCAACATAAACCCACAATCATATAAACGCACAAACAAGTATTTGTATATATGCCTCTATACGAATAAATCCCAAAAAATTGATTATCAAGAAAACAAAAATCGGTTCTGAGGTTCCAAAGTTCAATGAAATATAACCAGGAAGGTAATCAAACAGCCCATCAACACTACAACAAAAACGCACATCATATAAATGCACGAACAAGTGAGTGAAAACATATTTATACATATACATATATGGTGTAATTAAATCATACCTGGACCAGGGCCACCAGGTCTGGTGCTGCCATTGCACCTGAAGCTAACAGGTTTGAGCTTGAAATCTGAGGAAAAGAGAGAATAGTCACGTGACAAAGGAGGAGTAGGAACTGAGGATCTCCATGAGCGATTGATACAACGGCTAATTTGGGTTTTTGATTGAATACTACCAGAATATATAGCTGATGGTGGGGATGCTGAAAAACTCCCACTCATTCTTTCTCTCTCTTTCTCCCTTTAGCTTCCTCTCTCTTTCTTTTTCTCTCTCTAGAAGTAAAATTTAGTATATAAAAAAGGCGCAGGTTGAGGACAAGATCGATACACACGATGAAGAGTTTAACTACGGAGTATATCATTTATCAAGCACTAGATATTGTCATATGTATTTGAGATGCACATGTCTGTATATGGGCCCACCTCATAAACACAAGATTTTTCTAGGGTTAAGTAAACCAGTGTTAATTATTTTTAATGACTGATCACAAATTTTATGGAACCCATAAATATATATATCACCTCATAAACAAAAGATTTTTCTAGGGTTAAGTAAACCAGTGTTGATTATTTTTAATGAATTGATCTGATCACAAATTTTATGGAACCCATATATATATATATATATATATATATATATATATATTCAGGTCATAAATGTTAGAAGTTAGATTGATAGACGTAGAGAGTTGAAGTCTAATAACCTGACACTTCAAAATTAACCGGAAGTACAAATTTACTGGGTTATAGAAACATCTACGAATCCGAAGAGATTGAAAGGAAAAGAATACCTGAACTATGGACATATAATGAAATGTTAAGATCAAACAATATTTATTAAAGTTTACAAAGAATTGCAAAAATGGTTCAATGCTGTCAGTTTTTTCTCTGGAACGGAAAGATCTATGAGACGAGATTAGAAATATGCATATTTTTATTCATGTGATAAAAAAACACTACAAGACTGAATTTCATGTGTTAGGGCGTGAGCACACGCAATGTAAGCCTCCGGTGATATGTACATTTTTTTTTGTGTGATCTTTTAATAGTTTTGGGTGGGTCCCGACGGTCCCGTTAAGGGGAGTTCGTGCTAAAAAAAAATAATAATAAAAAAAATAATAATTTTACATGACTATATGGTGTCGGCCAATATATAATAATTAGCATATTGAACCAATAGATCCTTGGTGGATTATTGGACTAAACTATTTGTTACGTAAATAAAATTGATACATTTATTTTTATATATTGTGACAGGCCTGAAGCATATAATAATTTCTTGACTTGCATCACGAATCCTTATAAATCTAAGCTTAGTTCAAAGGTTTCCTGAAGCCCAAAATAGAGCAAATTGGTCTAAGATTTCAGCTGAACTTGTAGTATGCATGGTTTAGTCCAAGCTTGTTTGAAGCCCAATAATAGAGAACTAGTAATATTATGTTATGTCAGTATGTTACCCTCATAAAAAAAAAAAATGTAAAGATTGGTGTGAGGTTAAAATAGTAAAAACAATCTCTTATACTCAACTCAGTGATCTTTGTAATTGTTAATTGGATCAACAATATGGATCATGTTTCACCGTTTTCAGTCCACATAATATGCTCTTATCGTCCGTTCAGAACATGGATTTGGGCCCAACAACTTTATTCACACATGCCCCACATATTCTAAGAATAATGATGCTTTGGAGAGTAGTAATTTACTCGCATCTGTTGAATGTTGCAAGAAATGAGAAGTTAACGCTTTGTTTGGTCTAATTTTTTAAGAATAATTTTCTGATAATTAAAATTTTTAAAATTATTTAAAACCCTTTTATAAAAATTCAACTTAAAAGGGCACCTTCTTTTATACATCTGTCCCAAAATTTTTAGTTGCTCAGAGAATCTAATTTTTTTATGATAGGGATAAGTTTTTAATATTTTTTATTTGATAAAAAACAAATGAACCGAATGCACTAGGGCGAATCGCGAAAAAAAACTCTCTTGACTATTATTCACTTGCTAAAAATTTCCTTTATGAATATTTTAGCAAGAAACTCTCCTCAAGTATATTGAGGAGGGCATTTTAACACACATCCATCTCTATGTAATTTTTCAGATGAAATTACCCTCTTCAACAAATTTTTTTTTTTTCTTTTCTTCTTTCTCTCTCTAGCCTCTCAATCTCCATCCCACCATCACCACCACAACCACCTATGCCACCGCTACCACAGCCCATCGGCACCGTAATGGCTATCTATCTTCCAACAATTATGGGTTGTGTTACCATCACTACAACAATTATGGTAGAAAAGTCCACCTCTGCCCCCACAACCCATCGGCACCGCTCTGCCCTACTCTCTATCTTCCAAGTAATGGCTGTAAAAGCTAACCATTCGTGGTCCATCTTCCTCGACCTAGCTCAAACTCAGGATTGTGTTACCAGATTCCAAAGTCTTCACAACAAAACTGACCTCTCTAAATGTGAATTACAACATTTCATCTTTCTACCAGCAAAAATCCATGTTCCAAAGATGTTGATTCAGTCATAAATTCTCTAGGAGTAGAGGGATACAGTTCTTTCTAATCAAATTGTAACTCTTTATTGAATAGTACTAATTATGGCGACAATGCGTGCTTCGACTGCTTAGCAATTAGCATCATATAAACAGTCTTTGAAAGCATTGAAAGAAGGGATTATTACATATAAATAGGCTCAGTGCTCCATATTTATCCATACATTAAGTCAAAGTCAATAATTTCTCTAAAATGTGTTTGACCCAAAAGCTGAGGTGGCACATGAAAAAATACTGTTTCATATTTCTGTTGCCTAAAATACTCTCCTTCCTATTTTATGTGTTGCCTAAAATGCCCTTTTCTACAATCTGCAAACCCAAATGAAGAAGATACAGAGGGCGGCGCACTATGCCGACTGCAGCGGATGAAGCCAGTCGGTGGATCACGGACGGAAGATGATCTGTCCGGCGAGCATGGTGGCGAGGACGACTGCGGAGAGAACGGGTCCGGTCGTGAGAGGAAGGCTTCGGCCGTGAGAGAAGCGGCGGCCGACTATACAGAGCCGACGATTGGCTCGGATGGCAGTAAGGAAGGGTTGGCTGTGATGGCGGCTTGGGCCGGAGGTGTGGTGACGACAAGCAATGGCTTATGGTCGGCTAATAAGATGGTTGGTTTGACTGTAAATGGGTTTCTTTTTGATATATATATATTTTTTTTTACTTATTGTATAACAGAGTTGGAAGAAGATGCGTGCGTGTATATATATATATCTTTTTGAATTTTTTTTTTTTTCAAATCATAAACCATGTTTGATTCAATTGATTTTGCTCAAATTGAATCCATAAAAAGCACAGCAAGACAAATAATTGTTGATTCACACAAACCCAGTTCTTATTTTTCATCTCCATAAACAAACAAAACAAAAACCCCAGTTCTTAGTTTTTACAATTTATGATTCATAAATATGTTTGGAAATTCAGAACCACCGCCTCGGATATACACATTTTGGGTGTCAATTATGTATGCATGTAAATAATCCCAAAATCCACCTATTTATGTGTCTTGGTCTGCAAAATTTTCTAGAGAGAGAGGGAGTTCATACAAGGCCAAAGAACCAGGCACCGCCACAACTAATAATCACAATTACCACCACAAGAATTGGTCAGAGTAGTAAATTTTCGACGAGCATGGGTTGCTGCAGAACTGTAACAGACGCGATAAAGAAGTTCAGTAATCTTCTCATAAGACTCTTATCCTTCTTCCTTTGGTTCTGTCACCGGATATCATGGCTAAACTCACATTTTTATATAGCCTATATTGCCGGCCGCCGTTCCTCTCACGGCCGAAGCCTTCCTCTCACGACCGGACCCCGTTCTCTCCGCAGCCGTCCTCGCCACCATGCTCGCCGGACAGATCATCCTCCGTCCTTGATCCACCGACTGGCTTCATCCGCTGCAGTCGGCATAGTGCGCCACCCTCTGTATCTTCTTCATTTGGGTTTGATGATTGTAGAAAATGGCATTTTAGGCAACACATAAAATAGGAAGAAGGGTATTTTAGGTAACAGAAATATGAAACAATATTTTTTTATATGCTACCTCAGCTTTTGGGTCAAACACATTTTAAAGAAATTATTGACTTTGACTCAATATATGAGTAAATATAGACCACTAAGTCCATTTATATGTAATAATCCCTTGAAAGAAAGAGATGGCACAGATGGGAAAGGGTGTGCTGAGGCTCTCCTTATCAGTCTTGTAAGCTCGGATATCCATTCTCCTACATGGGTTCATGAAACTTTTTCTTGTTTAGAAGATGAAATGGGTAATTAAATTTAATCAATCTTTGAAAATAATTTTTTTTCTTGTTATGCCCTTATTTTTTACTTGTGTTCCAAACTTTTCTTTGCCTAAAAAAATGCAAAAGAAAGGTAAGAGCAAAAACCATTTCATTTTCAATTTTATCTTTTCATTAAACCAACCATGATTTAGCTCTTGATAATGAAAATGTTTAAATGGGTTTATCCTGGGTTCCAAGAAACGGTTTGCAGCTGTCATCATCACGGCTACACTTGTTATACTAGCTCCTATTCTTTATAAGCCAACAAGTAAAAGACTACAAGACATCAGCGACAAAGACCACCTCGGCAGACCTTAATCTCCTCCACCGCCATCGGCAGAGGTGGGTTGTGGTGGCAATGGTGGGATGGAGGAGATTGAGAGGCTTAAAAAAAAAAAAAAAAAACCTATTAAAGAGGGTAATTTCATCCGCAAAATTAGATAGAGATGAATGCTCCTCTTCAATATAATTGTGGGGGATTTTTGGCTAAAAATATTCAGGGGGATTTTTTGCAAGTGAGGAATAGTCAATGGGTTTTTTTTGTAATTCGCCATGTAATCAATTTGGATCCTCTAAGTTGAATATTTTATAACTTATCCTAAGTTGAACTTGCTGCAAATGACACGATATCCCCCTAATCGTGGAAATGAGCAAGAGGACAGAGGAAGGATCTTTTTTTTTTTGAAAAAGACGAGGGAATGATTTTTTTTTTTTGGAAAAGATGAGGGAGAGATAAAGACGTTAAACATCATTAGAGTATGGTGAATTTTCGTGCAGTTTTCAAACTTTGGTAAATTTTTCGGACGTGGTTTAAACTGGCATTAAATAGATTTTAAATGTTACATGTCAATCTGTAGCGAATTTAACAGAATAACTTAGAGAATATTTAACTTAGAGAACTCAAATCTGAATCAATAAAATTAATGTCAAAAGGATAGTTCGAGACTCTTATAAAAGATAATATATCTATTTTTTGGAATCAATCAATAAAGTCAATGTCAAAAAGATAGTTTGAGACTCTTATAAAAAATAATATATCTATTTTTTTGGAATAAAACGTGTATTTTAGGACATATCAAAATAAAAAGATAAATAAAAATTTTGGAATGGAGGGAGTAGTTATCTACAAATCTTTTTTTTTATTTATGATAGGAGTCATATTTTTAGTGAAAAAAGGCATTTATAAGTTATGAATGATATGAAAATCTTTTATATAGTTATTAAAACAATCTATAACATAGATTAATGGTATGAAATCTTAAAAAGTAGAGGTGTGTTTGTGATTAATAATGGTATGAAATCTTGAAAAGTAGAGAGGTGGTGGTGTGTGAGAGCTCTTTTTTGGGAGGAAAATTTTGTTGAAGGAAGGAATCCAAGTAGTAAAATGAATAGGTGACTCTGGACATTTTTCAATTTGTGGATATGCCCGAGAGTGGGTGGACATATGTTTTTAAAGTTGGATTAGGTTGGTGTTAACTATATTTATTCAAATTATTTAATCACTTCAAATCTTAAGACCACAAAGAGAGAGAGAGAGAGTTGATAATGGACATTCGCATTGCCAAACAGCCCAAACTATTCAACCTTTAGACCAAACTAACAAATACACGCGTATATACATTTTATAGTAGGTTGAATAGTTCACCAACAAATCCTCGTCAACCAATTATGATATATATATATATATATATATATAAACTTAAAAACCTAAGGTTTCCTTTTTCTATTTTTCTTTTTGTTAATAATAATGGTGTTGAGTTTCTTAGGATATTTTATAATTTATTATCGAACATATGCAATCTTCTTATATTATATATATATATATATAAATATGAAATATGTGAGAAACTTAAAAACCTAAGGTTTCCTTTTTCTATTTTTTATTTATTTATTATTGTTAATAATAATGGTGTTGAATTTCTTAGGATATTTTATAATTTATTATCGAACATATGCAATCCTCTTATATTATTTATTTATTTTGAAATAGCAATTTTGAATCTCTTATGGCACATTTGGATGGAGAGATTTGAAGGAACAGTGAGTGAAAAGGAAAGAAAAGAAAAAATAGTATAGATTATGTTTGGGTTGTTTAAAATGAGATAAAAGCTTATATTTTATTGCTCAAAAAAAGAGAAGAAAAGAGATAAATGATTGTTTAAGGGGTAATTTCATTATTCCAAAACTGCCATTAATGAAGAAATTATTATTTCACTCATATCATATCTATTTAAAATGTTATGATAATAATTTGGTTACAATCATTTTTATTTATTATCCAAATAAAAATATTATCATTTTTTTTTCCTTCTATATTCAAACATGAGTAGAGATTATTGTCAAATTTTATTTATTTATTTTATCTCATAATTTATATTATCATCTCCTTTCTTTTCTCTAATATGTATTGAACTTTAAAGCTTTTATAATTTGACATCCAGTGCATGCAGCACTCCCATTCCGTCGGATATGTTCCCTTGGTCTCAAAGAAAATAATACTGTTTGAGAACATCCCAAATTATTACTAAAAAAATGCAATAAAAAGCTTACTAAAAAACATGAGTAGTTCTAAGTATGTTATGGTATTTCTCGAAACTTCAGATCTTATCGTGTTAAAATTTTTTGTTGCTATTCTTGACGAGTGGACCAAAATTGAATTCAAAGCTAGCTGTTCCAGAACTACCTTGGCTTCAGACAGGTCAAAAATTATGGTCAACGCCTGAATTTTTGTCTTACCATAAATTATAATAATATGAGAAAACATAAAAAAAAAAAAAAAAAAAATGCAATACAAAGAATAATAAACATTTTCTTAAAATATTCAGGTGTTTACACGTTGTAATCATTTTATTTTCATTTTACCAAGAATTTTGAATCAAAACTTTATTTTCAAGTTATGCAAATGTCTCTATTAGACATGACCCGCAAATCACATTTTAAGAAATTGTCCTTTACCTAACATTAAATCTAAAGCCTTCACATTTTATACTTATAAAAGAGTTGTAGTTATTATTATTATTATTTTTTGCCTCCCTTCACTTTTTTATTTTATTAGTGACTTCAAAATTTTTAAACAAGAAAAAAATTAGCATTGTATGCAGTGTGTATATGTATGTATATATATATATATATATATATATATATATTAGTACTGTATTATATATACAAAAATAATAATAATAAATCCTCCAAGTGAACTGGACTCTTGGCATTTCCGTTATTTACAAGAGTAAGATGGGTTGTTAAGGAATATAATAGAAGAAAAGACATTACGCAGCTTAATATGGAAGGGAAGAGGAAAAAGCAGAGGAAATTGCGACTCTCTCTCTAGAACCTATTTTCTCTCTCTGCAAAATCAAACTCAATCGAGAGTCGTCGTCCCTTAATCGTCACGCTTTCTCTCTCTCTTTCTACATATATCTTCTATTTCCCTTTATCTCTCTATACTCTACTTTCTCTCTCTAGAATCTAGGGTTTGTGCGAGACAGATGGGGCAGCAGTCGTTGATCTACAGTTTCGTGGCCAGAGGAACGGTGATCCTCGCCGAATACACCGAATTCAGTGGAAATTTCACGAGTATCGCTTTTCAGTGCCTCCAGAAACTCCCTGCGACCAACAACAAGTTCACCTACAACTGTGATGGCCACACCTTCAACTACCTCGTCGAAGAAGGCTTCAGTGAGTCCTCATCAGATTTTTCGTTTTTCATTTTCTCTGATCCGTGTGTTCACCATGTTCTCTGATCTGATCATAGGTTATATCTATGATTTGCTGATCATATTTTTAGAATCTTTTAATCGAGTTCGTGATTATCTCTGCCTTTACTGTTTATTACTTCGGTTTGATTGTTCCGATTTACATCTTTTAAACTTATTATCATCTGCTCTGTTTGGTTACTGAGAAAAGGGTCGGAAAGCCGGTCAAATGAAGATTTAGATTATAGTTGCAATACGTACTAGGACTCGAAAATACAAAGAACCTCAACCATCTAATTCCAAGATATTGTCTTGGCGCAGTTTTGTTGAATTTTTAATATTTTTCCTTGAAAATTAAAGCAGCCTTGTGCAGACGATTTCAAAATAAAACGTCTTCCTTCTCCGTTCAATAGCAATGGTAGTGATTATATTTTCTGTTGTATATTTTAAACCATATATGCACACTTTATTAGTCAATTCTGTTTCGGTTTTTTATTTTTGTTTTTATAATAATTGGTTTCATAGATCAGTTTTACAAGCAGCATACTGAAATATAGTTTTTATCACTACGAGCTTGATATTCCGAGGTTCTTTTTAGCAAATATGGTTAGTGTTAGTGCTTTCTTTATTTGTGTGTTCTGTTGATTGGTTCGGTGTTTCTTCTGAGATTTGACAGGAGATGGTCAAAGGGAGAGTAATCAAATCCTTGCTTAGGCTCAAAATCTAATGAATGTTTCAGATACTGTCTCTATATTTTCAATTGATACCGGTTCTGTTTTTAGTATATGAGATCTGGGCTATTTAATCTGATATTATGATTTAGGCATTGGGCATGCTAACTTCTCAGTTTTATATTCTGAAATTAATTTTTACATGTATGTCAAATGCTTAATTGCCTCACAATAATCCAGCAAGGATCTATTGGTTCAATATGCTAATTAATGAATTGCTCAACAAACATTCTGATGAGATTAGAAACAGAAGCCAGGTATGAATAATTTCAGGGGGTTGTTTTTAGGTCCGTTCATTTGAGTTGTATCATTTGCTGGTAGATTGGTCGTTTGATCTTTGTTAGCCATTTATTTAAGTGACGTTGATATATATATATGTTACATTACATTTATATTTCTTAATGCATGTAATGTTGCATATTATGTTTATGGTGAATTTGTAAATGTATATGTTAAGTTATAACTTTTAAAAGTGTTGGTTTTGTAATCTTCATATGCAGTTGACATTCTTTTGAGTATACACTTAGACTGAATTGTCTTTTGTGGTTTAGTTTTTTCCAACTGGTCAAGAACTTTTTTTACTGATTTATCTCTTAATACCGAGGTACCCTAGTTGAGATCTCTAAGTATGAGTTAAGAAATGAAAATAGGAGGAAGCAGTCTGAACTATAGAAGTTGAGCACTTAAATCTTGAGGACTAAATCAACAAACTCTAGTCGAAGGACATCAATGTTTGAACTGGGTCGTGATACAAAGACGCCACTCAATGATTCTATTTTCTTTCGAGAGTAAGAAGCCAGACCAAGTATCCGATATACATATGCTGGAATCGTTAGCAATTATGTTTTATTTTTATTTATTTATTATTTTTTTCTTGTAGCGATGAGGTTTGTATGTGTGTGTGTTTATCCGATATTGATTCATATTGTGCTGTTTTAACCCAAAATGGTAAAAAATGTAATTATGGGTGTCGAAGATGCTATTCTTCTGAAGATATATTTATTTCTCTATGTTAGTTTTACTCTTTTGTTCTCCTTATAACAAGTTTGTTGTCTGTTATGGGAAGAGAAGCTCAATAATTGGAGAAGAACCAAATAAAATAGCAGTGTGTGCTTTGTGTGTATATGTGCACTTATGCACATTTGGTGTGAAATTATTCTTCATTGGTTGGTATGGCCCTATGGTAATTCTTTTTCAGAATCTTTATCTGCCATTCAGTTGTACATTGTTTCTTTTCATTTGACCTGAAAGAAGCAGCTTACAGCCGCACGACATGTTCCTTCTCAAAGTTTGTTTTAAGGTCCCAAAGGTAGTTATGAATTTGTTTCCAACAAATAATGCATGGCTTGTATGTATGTTTGATCTCCTAGGCGTTTTTCATTGATATTTAAGAAGTGTATATGTCAGGACAAGATTTACTGCAGGAAGGGGACAACCTCTTGGTTATTTTTTTTTTGACAAACAAACAATAATCCCAGCTTTTATTTGAAAACTACTTAAAAATTAACATGTCCTGATACTTTTGTTAGAGTAAATAATGCAAAATTTGTTGTCATGTTGTGTTGGGTCGAACAATAGAAACTATGAATTTGATTCATGTGAGTTTGATGTTTTGGGGCTTTTTTAATCACTTTATTTGCTCCCATTTTGGGTACTTTAAATTCTTTTACACTAACTTCATCTTTTGAATCTTACAGCTTACTGTGTTGTTGCGGTGGAGTCTGCTGGCAGACAGCTTCCGATGGCACTTCTTGAGCGAGTTAAGGAGGATTTTACTAAAAGATATGGTGGAGGAAAGGCCGCAACAGCTGTTGCTAATAGCTTGAATAAGGATTTCGGGTAATTTTTATTTTCTTTTATATGTATATAAATCTGAAAGGAGAGGAGAGAGCATTAGACTGAGAGGCCTTGGTAATTTTTATTTCCCTTACCACCTCATATGTTGTTGCTGGCTATTTCTGAAACTGAGTGTGCCTTTTCTCTGTTGCAAATTTAACTGCTGCATTATTGTTAATAATATAGGCCCAAACTGAAGGAGCACATGCAGTATTGTGTGGATCATCCAGAGGAGATCAGTAAGCTTGCAAAAGTGAAGGCTCAGGTTTCAGAAGTCAAAGGAGTGATGATGGAAAATATTGAGAAGGTTAGGAGAAGCTAATGTAGTCGTTGATCGTCAAATGCAACAACTAATCTAAAATTTCTTTTCAAACAATAGCTAATTTGAGTATAACATATCTTCAAGTCATGCGATCATAACAACTGTGGAAATTGGAAATGGTGAATGATTTGATATTAAGGAAGTTTATCGATATGCACTTTGCAGGTTCTTGATCGTGGAGAGAAGATTGAGCTTCTTGTGGATAAAACAGAAAACCTTCGCTCTCAGGTAAGTTGATGCAAAACAATATTCTTTTAAGGCTTAGAATTTAGCAGTCTTACTTAAATTTAGCTAGGCAGATGAACTTTAAACGAGGCACACTACTAATTTATCTGGATTTAACCAGATGCCATCTGGTCATGTTTATAAACAGAAATAAAATAAGGAGAAAATTTTGGCAACAATCTCTAGGGATATTTGGCTATTGAATCAAAATGGAAGTATTGAGATGGTATTATAATGATATGAATATCAGTTAGTTTTGTTTATTATCAACTGAGACTTGAGGCTTGTAGTACACCCAAGTTGATTTAGGTGGCCTATTACTTTTGTTGCAGGTAACACTGAGTACTCGGTAGTGATCTCAGATCATGGAACTTCTTACCTTTTTCTTATTTCTTCTTCTTCTTCTTATTATTTTTGTTAATCATTATCAAAATTCAATCCTTTTCTAGAATTTGTTTGATGATGTAATGTAAATATGTACCGTTAATGATGTTGCAGGCACAAGATTTCCGGACACAAGGAACCCAAATGCGGAGAAAGATGTGGTTCCAGAATATGAAGATAAAGCTGATCGTTCTTGGTATCCTCATTGCCTTGATTCTCATAATAGTTTTATCTATTTGTGGTGGGGGAAAATGCAGCTAGCGTGTGGAGAGCCTTCTCATGCTTGATTAGGATGTTTGTGGTCAATAGTGAATTGGTTCTCTCCGGTATAATAATTTTTTTGGTGTTTGTTTACCTTTATATATATATTTTCTTGTGACACGGTTTTCCCCTTCTGTTATAGTTTGTATTTGTCAGACAATGTTCATCTAGTTTGTGCAATTGAGACTTTACATCTTCAATGGTATTGGAGTTCCAATATGAACAATCTTTATTTGCCCTTAATCACTCTTTGATGGATGGCACTTAACACCTTTATTTGAAAGGTTGTCAATAGGACTCACAAGAAGTCCAATCTATAATCTATACATAGGTAAGCACTACATGGTCTTCTAGCAGATAATATATAATCTATACATAGGTAAGCACTAGCATTTTCCCAAGTCTATTCTGAGAGAATCTTTTACAGTTTGGTGAAAATATATGCTTCCAGGTTGGCCTGACATCCTAACATACTTGTTCAATATCGGGACAATTTTGTAAACATCAATTGATGGAACTTGGATGGTTTTTTTATTTTAACACATGATAAACAAGTTGCCAGTTCAATAGCAGGACAACTTTGTAAACATGGACTGATGAAACTTGGATAGTTAAAACACATGACAAACAAGTTGCCTCTTTGAAAATGCATTGTCACATGTTGGGTGTTTTGCAATCTGATCCAAAATTTTAAGTCATTAGGTGGTATTGTCACGGACCAAGTGTTTTGCAATCCATAACCCAAGCCATTGCTGTAGAAAAATGTAATAATTTTTTTATATTTAAAAATATTAAAATGATGAAACCAGCGGATGTGACAGGATTTATTCAACTATTGCAAATACAATTCGATTATGGGTGTGGCTAAGGGATTCTGACATTTGAATGCGAAATTGTGACCACAAAAAGAATTGGGCATGAAACTGATCTCGATCACATGGTACCATTCATACATTGATTTCCATATTGTCAATCAACCTGACCTTTCCGAACCAGGCAGCAACACAGAAAACAACTGGACTCCTAATCTCCTCCACTGCTTCCATACTCTCTTGATCTACAATCTGCTGGCCAAACATAATTAATAAGACCAAATTTTCCTTCCCTTCCAATTTCTAAAAATATTAATATATGCGAGGAAAAAGTCACTCTTGATCTACAATCTGCTGGCCAAAGATAATTAATAAGACCACAATTTCCTTCCCTTCGAATTTCAAAAATATTAATATATGCCAGGAAAAAGTCACAATCATCTCAAGTGGTGAAGGCAAAATAGAACAAAAACAGCACACATAAGAGAAGAAAGTGTATTTGCTATATTGACAGATCTTTCTTGTATGCATTGGAGTCATTCAACAAAAACAACTATGAATATTCTTCAAGAAAAAGATGAATATATTTTCTTCAAATTTATTATTATTATTATTATTTTTGTTGTTTCAAACTGACTACTTGATGTACTAAGTTCCATTAAGTAATAGAACGTGAAAAACAAAATGAATTTTTTATTTTCAAATACATCTGAATCAGGTCAAGATGCACACAAGCAAAAGAAAAATGCTTCATATCTTACCTCAGCATAATCAACTCTTCCACCAGCTTCCTGTATGGCTTGAATGACTGAGTTTCTCAAATCTCCACAGTTAACTTGACCCTTTTCGGCCGCACATTTAGATTTCAACAACGACCGGTTAATTGACAACGCCTGTAAGAAAATGGCATAAGTTGTTCAAATAATTGTTTGGCAGATTTAAACAATTTCTGGATGACCTAAATTTGATTGAGCTACTTCTGAGTAGATCACAAGAAAAGAATTGAACATATAGAATAACATATAAGCATTTGAAGATGATAATTTCTGATCTACACGACGGAGAATAACAAAAGATAAACTGGACAACCACTTTAAATGTATCCACTTGCTTTTGCGGGCATGCCTAAACAATAAATTATTAGGAAAAATTAATGAGAAGATCTCTAAATCTTGTGTGAAACAGAGAAGTCAGTAAGTATCAATGAGAGAACCTTATCCCTCTCTTCAGGAGAGAGGTGCACGTTGCGGGAGCTCATTGCAAGACCATCATTATCTCGTACAATTTCAGAACCAATCACTTCTATGGCAAAATCAAGATCTCGAACCTGAAAGAGAACCATTGAGACGACATGTTAATGGTTGTCAATGTGTCATCAATAGATAAAATAAAAAGTCCATCTATAGGAAAGCATTGCCTTCTTCCTGAAGATGGCGAGAAATGTCATCATTTATCACTATGCTACAAAACACTAGGTGGTGAATCATAATTTCAATCGAATCCTCCTAACATCAAACATCAACTGAACCAGGGACCTAGAAACCGTTCCAAACAAAGCTCAAATTTATTTATGTAACTCAAACCCTAAGCCAACCCAAATCAAGTTGTAGGTTCAGCTTTAGTTTTCCAAGTATGGGTGAGGCAAAGTGCAAAATGCAGAATGCATCTAAGCAACTTTATTAGAAATAAAAGAAGGAAAAAGGAAACTATCTCACATAATGCACAGAATGGAGGACCAAACTTAACAGTTCAATAGAATTTTGAAACTGAAATCACAAATCAATGTGAATATTGGATAATTGCCAGTCCATCAGACCAACAAATCCATGTGATAATTGAATGGAATGGAACATCACATGTTGCTCTACATACATAGATAATATACATGCATATACATCTACATATAAATATACACATTGTACATTATATATGTTGGCTTTAGGCTTATGGTCCTCACAGATACCAACAAAAGTTGCAGGCAACAATAAAAAAGTTTCAAATAACCCAATCTGAGATAGAATATTACAAAGTATACACTCCGGAAATGAACAAAAAGGACCAATAGAATAGAAAACATCCCGTTTCTATCCGATAAAATTCTTTATTATCTGAAAGCATGAGAAACATTTTAATGATTCTCTGACAAAGAACTACATCCCACTATCTAAATTACCCTTTTACAGCATAATTAAGTACATCAAGGTAATCATACAACCCTCTTGAATGTTATTCTCCCAATGCTATTTTACAACTTTGTTAATTCGTTTCTGTGTTCTTAATGGATTTAGTACACTATTAGGTATCCAGAACATGAAGAAGAAAAGAACTGCAGAAGCCCAGCAAATCAGATTCTATTTTTCTTTTCTGTTTAATATTCTGAAATTAGAAATAAATATTAAAGGGCTAACCTAGTGCACGAGGCCCCGCCATTGTGGAGTCTGGAAGGGTTTTATGTATGCAGCTTTACCGTGATTGGGGCAACCTTACTGTTGCTCCAGGCGGACCCTAGTTAGAAATGAACATTATGGTTACCAAATTCCCAATTACTAGATTGAGTTGAAATATTATACAAAATTAACCTAATTATAAACTTCAATGACAATGACAATGACAATGAAATTATAATCTACCAAACAGATAAAGAAAACTGACCATTCGGCAAATAATTCGCCACTGCTGATAATCCTTTTTGCCAAACATGGCGACATCAGGCTCAACAATATTGAACAGCTTGGTAACAACAGTAGCAACTCCCCTGAAGAACACAGGTCTACTCTTCCCACACATACCCTTTTCCAACCTCTCAACTCTAACCCATGTTTCATGCCCCAATCCCTTTTCCTCCAAGCAGGACACCACTTTCTCTCTCTTCTCTTCTCTCTTTACCCCACCACCACCACCAATCCTGCTGCTGCTATTGTTTCCATAGTCATACAAATTGTGGGGGTGGAAAACAACATCAACACCACCAGGAACAGCCACGAGCTTCTTGATATCGCCATTAAAATCAGATGGGTATGTGGAAAGATCTTCAGAGGGAGAGAATTGACCTGGATTGACATAGATTGAAACCACAATGAGTTGGGTGAGGTCATGGGCTTCTTTGATGAGTGAGAGGTGACCCTCATGGAGGTAACCCATGGTGGGGACTAAACCAATGGTCTTTCCTTGGGCTCTCATGGATCTTGACCACTGCCTCATCTCGTGCTTGTCTGTGATTATCACAGGTTGCTTCACTGCCATTTTTGTCAATTGCTAGGGCTAGGGTTTGGTGCGCTTTTCAATCAGAATACGTGCGTGCTTGAGATTTGGAGTGCAAATGGACGAAAAATGTTTACCAGTATGATACGATTTTTCCGAAAGTGGATTGCGAAGACTCAAATGGTGAGAATTTTGTGATTGTTTGGTTGATGGTCGTTGCTATATTAAAATGAAGTGCACATGGACAGTGACGATTCAAGCGTGGCGGCTCATGGACGTCGAAATTGGCCGCGGTGGGCGGTTTGATCTTGAGGTTGGTAGATGTGCCAATAATAAAATTGGACTTCCATGCCAAGTGTTATGTTTGGATCACTAAATATGAGTCACGATTATTCAGATATGATATTTATTATGAGCACATTTATTATGAGCACATTTATTATGAAACGAATGAAGTAGTATATTCAAATTTTTGTAATTTTTTTTTTTATATTTATGTTTTTCATTTTATTTTTATTAAAGTATCATTTGTGCAACCCAATTTATTATTTATTTTTATTTTTAAATATTTTTACTTCTAGTATTATTTAGGTTATAATGCATCATAATACATTATAGATAAAAATAATAATAATAATATTTATACATCATATTTATATCTCTCGACGCTGCAACATTCATGAATATAAATGTTACATTTTATTATAACAGTGCATCAATATTTCTAAAATTAAATGCACCAATTCTCAAAGTTTGTTTGCAACATGATATATATATATATATATATATATATATATATATATATATATAGAGAGAGAGAGAGAGAGAGAGAGAGAGAGAGAGAGAGTTTTATTCACTTGCATGTTACATGTTTCCGCGCACAATTTGTGTGTGCCCACCAAAATATGAATGATATGTTTTATGAACCATGCCAAATTATAACACCTCAATGAGGGACCAATTAAAGACAAATAAGTTAACAATCGGCTAAAATTTTAGGGTATAATGGTTACAAGCAATAATAAAATAAACTAAAGAAAATAATATTTAAGTATATGGTTTTAGCTAAAGTCTTCTGTTGAACCTTTTACACTTAGCAAAATAGTAAAATACATTGTGATGGAAATTCTTAAAAATTAAATATGAGTGCGGTTGCTTTTAAAAATGGTTTGTATTGTTAATTAAATGCAACAATTCTTGTTAACTCTTTGTATCTCTAAAATCTTGTTACAATTGATAATATATCATTTGCAAATATTTATTATTGTTAATATAAAAATAGTTATTAATTTTTTTTGGGTAACATATTACATTATTTGGTGATTTATTACATTTCAAAATACTTTATAAAATAAGAAATCTCAAATTATCTTTCCAAATTATACTTGTAATATTACATCAATTTCCTTAGTGAAAGGAAATTGATGATTTTTTCTTTTCTAGTAGAAATTTTTATTGAAAGAAGTTCTCCTAGATGACATTTGAAAAATATTATTATGATGTCATTGGCAAAAAAAATATTCGATCGCAGTAACGGGGATGTTGCAGATGACATGTATCATCGTTATAAGGTATGCTTGATTATATTAAAATATTCCATTCTGCATGTTGGGTAATATACATTGTCCTTTTTTTTATATTTATTATTGTTGTATTTTATATTCTTTTACCAAAATTGTTGGCATATTCTTCAAGAAGACATAGTTTTGTTGAAAAAAACTGGATTGGACGCGTTTAGTTTCTCAATCTCATGGTCCAAAATATTACCAAGTAAGACTATCCCATAAATTATTGTCAATTATTCATATAAATATGAGTCCATGGAAATAAGTTGAATTCTTTATTTTATTTTTATTTTTATTTATTTATTTTTTCTCGATCCAACTGGGATGTATGATTTTGATTATATATATATATATATGTATATATAATCAAAATTCTACAACAATAACTTCTAGCAAATGGTGACAATTAAATCTCATTCTCATACACTACTTCTTTATTATTATTATTATTATTATTAATTTTTGTTTGTTTATTCTAGTGTGTCAAAAAGATAAGACAGATATTCAATTACTTGCCAAAATTTCCTCTCTAGGAAAAAAAGAAAAAAGAAAAAACTTTAACAGGCCAACTGATCTCTGAATGGAGAGAACTCTTCAAAGATGGGAAGCCTTCTGGATCTGAATGGGGCCCAATCAGTCATCAACTTTTCAAGCCCATCAACAAAGTCATCTTCAAGATTAAGCCCCATAAAATTTGACACTTCTTCCGGCGGTTGCCGGGATTCAACTTCCAGTAACAATTCCTCTGCCCGATTTTTGGATTTCAAATCATTAGAACCTGGAAATCTACCTTGAAGCACATCTTCAAGAACTGACCGGGCCTCGTCATACCGGGCTTGCCTGATCAGACATTGGCCCAAGTTACACGCCTTGTTGGCATCGGGGTCGATCATTTGGGCTTTCTGGTACACCACCCCTGCAGCCATGTAGTTTGTCTTCTGCATATAGGCCCAGCCCAAATTTTTCTGCAACATTTACAATTTACAAGCCCGACTTGTTAAGATATAACAATAGTGTTGTATTCTCCCAGTTCATAGCTGGCATAGAGTCATGCCTTATGACGTGCTAATGCGAGCTTTTACCATTGTAGATACTTAAGGGTGTGTTTGGATAAACGGGAGAAAAAAGAAAAAAAATGATAATATTAGTTAGGAGAGAAAAGAAAGGAAAAGAAAAAAAAGGATAGTAATAATTTCTATTCGTGTTTGGATAGATAGGGGAGAAAAGAAAAGAAAGGATAATTATTCTTATTTGGATAAGATAGAGGAGAGAAAAGAAAAGAAAGGATAGTGACTAAATTAACGCCCTACCATTTCATTACCACTCATACATTATCTATTTCTAAAATCTTGTTTCTTTTTTATAGTTCAATGCAATGCGTAAAAACAAAACTAAAAAATAAAAACAATACATTAAACAATAAAATCACAATTATAGTACCCAAACTAACTTTTCGAAACTAATTTAAGCACAACAAAAGAAATTAACAATTTAGTGTGTAGAGAATGTTTATTGCTAATTAGTCAAGGGGGGAAATAAATTCTTGCTAATACAAATAGAGTTTTTTTTTTTGGATAAGTTAGTACTATGATTCTATAATTTAAACATTCCAAACCCTTCCCAATTCAGTCAGATTCAAAAGCTCAATCAATTATCAAAATCTGACTACCTAAAGTGGCTAAGAACATGTTTGCAGGTCACCAAAAAGAAAATTAATATTCCAACAATTTGTTAATTACCTCATCGTTGCCTATCTTTATACATCTCTGTTTTATTGTGGTTCTGTCCACAACTCCAAGCTCTTTAAGCAAAGGTTAAGACAGTCATAATGGACAAGGGCAATACTTGAAAGTCATCAGTTTTCAAGAAACGAGAGGTGTCTCACAAAAACCCCTCCAACTGGAGGAACAGAGCTATTATTTTCCAGTTTCACCTTATATTTTATGGGGCTTCCACAACGGCAATGAGCAGTTGGGTAAGGAAACAAAGTGCATTATGTTCTCCCACATTGGCATCCACAGTACTCATTATTACTAGAAAATTTAGTTTTAGGTTTATGCAATAATTGGGACATAAATGAAATTATTTTTTAGCATGTTGATTTGTAAAAAGTATTTTTGGTATCAGTAATTTACAACTTATTCCCACTATCCTTTCTCTCCCTATCTTCTCAAATTGGGAGAGAAAGCATATAAGAGATAGGGAGGGATAGCTATTCCTCCCTATCCTCTCTTTTCTCTTCAATTTATCCACCCAAACACACTCTCACACTATCCTCTCTTTTCTTTTCTCTCCCTATTCCTCCAAATCAACCCTACCAAACACACCCTAAGGTCCGTTTGGTTAGTCGAAAATTGATGGTGAAAAGTGAAAGGAAAAGAAAGTGAAGTGAAAGAAAAGAAAATTATATTTCTATCATGCATTTGGTTAGCATGATTTTTTTTGTAAAAAATTTGTGGGAAAATGTCGTTTCATTAGTTTAGTTAGCAAGAAAGTGAAAAGAAAATGATTTATAGGCCAAAACTATCTTTATGAATTCAATACTAAGTAATATACATCATGCAACAAGTATAATAAAAACTATAAATAATTATTTTATGAATAAAAATATATGTGTGTGCATATATATAGATTCCTTATTTAAAATGTAGAAAATTGTAACTTAATTAGGAGTCCTAATTCATTAAAAAGAAGTCGCTCCTTTTGTGAATTTGAAAAAGAAGGAAGAGAAATAACTAACAAAGGTATAATTGGAGACTAAGATATAATGATACAATTTTCACGAGAATATCACTGAAATTTTTGTGTGTTTTATGAAGAAACATTTTGAGGAAAATCAACCAATTGCGAGAATATCACTCTCTTGAAAACTTTTCAGTTCACACTAACCAAACTACAAAATAATTTAAAAATTTTCCGTTTCTTGGATAATGAATTTTTATAATAAATTTCATTTGTTTCGATATAAAATATTTTTTTAGTTTTAAATTTTTGACATTTGACAAAGGTCTAGGTTGAGTTTAATGGGTGGGATATGCAAAATAATTTATATGAGTAAGTTATTTTTGTTAAGTTTTAAATTTTTTTTTTCTTCATAAATATTTTACAACAACCAAACACCAAAACATTTTAAATATATTTTGTATCCAAATAAATGGAGCCTTAGTGTAATGTACGTACCAATATTCGTGAAGTTTCTTGTTTGACGGAAATTTGAAATTTCTTGCCATGAGAGCGTGCAGTTTTTGTGGGTTTTCCATTGAAGACATGTCCTTGGTAGATCAACCTAAGCTTATGCTTTAGCAATGCTATTTGTTCATCCACTCTGCCGCATTTCTACAAATTAAACCATTACATATTATTAGGATAATATATTAATGCGTATATATATATATATATATATATATATATATATATATATATATATATGTCTTTACATATGAAATGTGAATGTGTCCATATGTACCTTGTATAAGTCGATGAGGACATTATCGAGTGAATCCTGGGCTTGTTTGGAGCAAAAAACCCTAAAAGAATTGATGGCTTCAATGGCCTCTTCACTTTTATCCAATCGCTTCATTACAAGTGCCATGTCCTTAAGGGCACTATCCACTCTATCTCCTGCATTTATAGCCTTCAAAAACAATACTATTGCTGCTTCTGGATCCTTCTGAACTAGCTGAATTCATATATATATATATATATATATATATATATATATATATTGAAAAAAAAATCATAATAAATAACAAGATTGACTGATACATGAAACAATGAAAGAAAAAAAAAACATAAAATAAGTTTCATTTAACAAGAGGATATATAATTGTACATAGAAGTAACCTATACATGATTCCCCCTCCTCCCGGCCGCGGGGGAACCCCTCCTTCCTTTCTAAGGATGGATGTTTATAGCACTATGCCAAAGACCTTTTGATACCCCAAGCATATGTTATATAATCATTTCATAAAGTGTTTATAATAGTCTATGCATGCTCAAGTATGTTTCATGATTATACAGAATATTTATCATTTTTTTTTGGTAAGTTATACAGAAAATTTATCATTATATTCTTTTCTCACTCATTTACTTCATTACGAGTAAGATACTCATATTCAACACTTTGTTACACAAAAATATCAATTTATCCCTGTCTAGTATTCACTATTGAGAATGCATTTCACAATGGTAGAATATGATCTATTGAAAAAAAATATTGCAAGTAGGTGCAATTGGTCCCCAATTTCGTTAGCAATTCTTAATTAATTCCAATAAAGTGAGGAGTTTACAAATCAAACTTCAACAACCATAAAATAAAAGATGGTATTGTCAATTGTCACTAAACTTTAGCTCAATGTAATCACATTTTCTCTATGTACCTTTTAAAGTAAAGTTGAAGATTTAAATCATAACTGAAATAAAGTGCATCAATCATATGTATATCTCACCAGAGAGATTACATGAATAAACTAAAAGGTAAAGGGATTGCAAAAGTGGCATATAAGAAAATGATATGATAAGAATGGCAAAATATAACGGAAATTATTTCCAAAAAAAATATAACAGAAATTTTGATAAAAAGAGGCAATTATGCACCTATTTATCTTCAATTGATGAGTAATAGGGGCCTAAAAAAACTTAAGCGGGGAAACTTAAAATAAAAAAGAGAGGGGGGGGGGGGGGGGGGGGGAATTCTCTCGTAACTAGCCCGCGTAGAACCACAAGAATTGTTAGTTAGAATGAAATTTTACTAACTCAACACTTTTTGAGTGAATTTAAGAAGAGTTGCTCTTTAGAGAGCACAGTGCGATGAAAATTGTAAGCAAGAGTTATTGGCTATTATTGACTTATATTGCAGAATTAGTCTAAAGATTTGAAATGGGGCGGTTTAGTCTGCGATACATGCTGAACATTCAAGTTTGTTTTGCGGTTCTATGCATGGTTTATTATTTATGGACCTTTATAAAATCATTCTATTTAAAAATATTTTAAGATGGCAGAGCCTTATAATTAAGGACGAGTAATACTCTTCGGAGAGCTCCCTCACTACGAACGTACTTTTCATTTTAATCAATGACTTGAAAGATATATCAAATAATTCATTTGAATCTTTACAGATCTAAAAAAACCGCATAAATCTTGTGGTTAAATTTAGATAGTTCATCACTCTCTCTTGAGAGCATTACTCAATAAGGGAAGGTCGAGATTGAAATAAGGAGGAATTCTTATATGTATAGCAGGTACAAGGAAGGCGTACCTACAACGAGACAAAATGTTTTAACAAGTTGAAAATAAGATATTCAAATAGGTGTTGAATAAATCAATTGTTTTACTACATACTTGAAGCTTTAAATTGTGAAAGTAATAAGATATACATGAAATGTTCATGATATATATGTATGTATTCACCAAACTACGAAAAGAAATTAGAATAATAATTTTGGAGAGAGAGAGAGATCAGGGACACACCTGAGCAAGTTTAGCTCGGACATAAGGACCGTCACCAGAAGGAACCTTGTAAAGTACATGAAATGCAACTTTTTGCTTCCTAGAGCCCATCTTCATTGACCTAATTCCTTCCATTCTCTCTCTCTATGAATGTCTCTCTCTTTCTATGAATTCATAGAGAGAGAGAGAGAGGAGGGCTGCGCTAACATATTGAGGCAGTGAGGGAGAAAGTGATTGAATATTGTTGTATTATTGTTTTATTTACCGGCAAAAAAAACAAGAAACTGAATATTCTTGGTTTACGCTAAGACAGATCAACCAACAGCTCTAACACGTTCGTTATTGGACACGTGTTGGCCTGTAAGTGAAAGCAATTAATTAACAAATGACTATACATATATATATATATACCTCCTTAATTAATTGTCGACAGAGTGTCCTTCCCATTGGTCTTACGCAACAAATTAACAATCACAGCTATGTTGTTGTGGTCCTAACTAATTAACAACCTTACTAGTAATATACTTACATTATTACATTAAATTAAGTTAATAACGTTGATCCTCGTTCACATATTAATAATAATAAATTTTTTATTTTTGTTACTACTGTACGTGCATGCATGTATACATTTATAGCATATATTGCTTAGCATACATTGTTGCTACGTTACTAGCGTATTTTATACACTAAAAAAGCATGTCGGTTGAGGACTCGGCCGGGAGTGAATAACTATTTTCAACTAAGCATGTATGTGTGCATATATGTGTGCCCGCGCATGCATGTGTGTTTTGTACTACTTTTTTATTACTAAACTTAGAAGCCACTTTTAAGGCATGCACACAAGTAATGTTATAAAAATTGATTTATTTTTGTAGTTACTTCAATCAACAGAGTCCGACAAGGACTCTTATAGTTATGTAATTGGTGACAATTATATTATTTTAACATATTCAATTGGTCCACTACCTTTAATATAAGAAAAATTATAAAAGTCTCAAATCATATTTTTACACAGTGATTGCCTTAATTATTTATCATTAATTAAAATTTTTTGTTAGACGCTCCTGATTGAAATAGCGAAAAAATGGATCATCTTCAAGTATAACAGTATTCTTAATATAATATTAAAAAATATAAATCAAATTAGAGGAAGAAAAAGTAAAAGAAGTGCTATGGATAGCTCAAGACTTGAGAGATCCGGCTCCATCCACAGTGTCACAATATGTGTGAAGAGTAGTCATGTTCACTTTAAAAAATAAATTTCTGATTTTGAAAAATTAACATATGATAAGTAAAAGTCTCATTTTTTTACTGATCGTGGTTATGAACCATTACAATTTCAAGGAAGGTTGCACTACTAATTTTGATTAACCAAAACTTTCTAGTAATGCAACAATCTTATACCACATATATAATAAACACACCCTATTTGAAAAAAAAAAAAAAAACAGCTAAGAAAGTCTTATACTACAGGCATTTTACATATTATTTATTTATTTTTTAAAAAAATACAAAACCCTAACAGGCCAACTGATCTCTAAATGGTGAGAGCTCTTCAAAAATGGGAAGCCTTTTGGATCTGAATGGGGCCCATTCACTCATCAACTTTTCAAGCCCATCAACAAAATCATCTTCAAGATTAAGCCCCATAAAATTTGACAATTCTTCAGGAGGCTGCCTGGATTCAACTTCCAGTAACAATTCCTCTGCCCGATTTCTGCATTTCAAATCATCAGAACCTGTAAGTCTACCTTGCAATACATCTTCAAGAATTGACCGGGCTTCATCGTACCGGGCTTGCTCGATCAGACATAGGCCCAAGTTACACGCCTTGTTGGCATTGGGGTTCATCATTTGGGCTTTCCGGTACACCACCTCTGCAGCCACGTAGTTTGTTTTCTGCATATAGGCCCAGCCCAAATTTCCCTGCAATATTTACAATTTACAAGCCGAACTTGCTAATATAACAATAGTTACTTGCAATAGAATGCAACAAATGTAAGATTATTACTATATTCGCAAATTTTGTTTATTGACCTTTCTTCGTCCCCTAATGATCAGGAGTCTTAACTCTCAAACCCTAAGTGAAGGTTTGAGACAGATAAAATAATAAAAGTACTAACATCTTATGACATCATATGATCTGCTAATGACGTCAACTTTTACCAATGTAGATATATACTAAAGAATTAATCCTAAATTATTATCATTATTATTATTATATATTTTGCCATATTAAAAAATAAAAAACAAACCCCGAATAAACAAAGACTGAAAGCTGTTAATGTAGTGTACCAGCATTCGTGAAGTTTCTTGTCCGACGGAAACTTGAAATTTCTTGCCACGAGAACGTGCTGTTTTTGTGGGTTTTCCATTGAAGACCTTTCCGTGGTAGATCAACCAAAGCTTCTGCTTTAGCAATGCTATTTGTTCATCTATTTTGCCGCATTTCTACAAATTAATCCAAATTGTATTGTTAGTGAATTGTGTGTGTATGATGAACACTTTTTTGACATCATTAATTATATTATTTTTAACATTCTACATCGACTTAGTTTAGTTAAATTTAATGTATTGAAAGACATATATAATGTATTAAAGACGTGTAATGTGTTAGAAAATGTATACATCTACAGCAGGTGGGGACCTGACCGAGCTCATGCATTATGTATATACGTGTTTTTGCATATGATGTTACGTATAGCTAATTAATAAAGATGTGGATATATATATATATACCTTGTATAAGTCGATGAGAACATTATCAAGTGATTCCTGGGCTTGTTTGGAGCAAAGAACCCTAAAAGATTTGATAGCTTCAATAGCTTCTTCAGATCTATTCAATTGCTTCATTACCACTGCCATATCCTTAAGGGCACTTTCCACTCTATCTCCTGCATTTATAGCCTTCCAAAACAATACTATTGCTGCTTCTGGATCCTTTTGAACTAGCTGAGTTCATGATCGATCGCAAGCAATTTATTTATTTATTATTTTGAATAATAATAATAATAATAATAATAATAATAATAATAAGATTGACTGATACATGAAATAATGGAAAAAAAAAAAGAAAGTATAAAGTAAGTTCTCTTTACCAAGAGATTACATAATTGTACATATATAGAAGCACGATATACATATTTTATAAAATCATTTCAAAGAGTTCCATAATAATATATAACGGTCTATGCGTGCTCTAAGTCTATTTCATGATTATACACAAAAATTTATATTATATTCCTTTTGTTACTCATCTACTTCATTACCAGTGGACACTTACTCATATTGAAGAAACATGTTGCACGTAGGTGTAATTGCTCCTGAATTTCATTTGCAGTTCTTAATTAATTCTAATAAATTGAGAAGTTTACAAATCAAACCATAACAACCATAAAATAAAAGAGTGTGTTGTCAGTTATCACTAAACTTTAGGTCAATGTGATCATATTTTGTCCACCTTTTAAAATCAAGTTGAAGATTTAAGTTACAATTGAAATATTAAAGTGGATCATATGTATATCTCACCTGAGAGATTCCATGAATAAGCTAAAAAGTAATGGGTTTGCAAAAGTGGCATATAAGAAGATGATATGATAAGAATGGTAGGCGCTATTAGAAAGAAGATATAGTATAAATATGTGTGGGCTCAATATATAACGAAAATTTTGAATAGGAGAGACAATTATGCACCTATATATATCTTCAATTGATGAGTTATTGGGGCCCAAAAAAATTAAAGGGGAAAACTCTTCGTTTTTGGTTCTCGTGTATCCAGACCATGCATTATTATTCTTAGAAGTGTCTTTCTTTGGAGAGCAAAGTGCGAAGAAAATTGTAAACAAAGTTATCGACTGTAATTGACCTCTATGGGAGAATCTGTCTGGAGATATGAGGTACGTGCATTCAATGATTTACTTTGCCAGTTATCGTTGACCTTTTTGGTAGAATCAATTTGAAGATTTTCAAATGTCGTGATTTACTCTACCATAGAGTTATTGAGTACTATTGTTGACCTTTATAGTAGACCAGTTTGAAAATTTGAAATGCAGTAATAAATGTTGGTCATTTAAATTCACTTATAATTCCAAGCACTCAAAATTTTAAATTTAGCGCCCCTATGCATGATTTATTATTTTAGAACAGTTATGAGATCATTCAATTTAAGAATAGCCTTATAAATAAGTGAAGGTTGAGGTTAAAATGACCATAGGCTTACGCGCGAGGAATTCCTAGACGTACATGAGGTACCTACAAGGTGACGAATGCTTTAAAAAAAGTTAAAAATAAGCAAAAATTCAGAGTTTTCAAATAGGTGTTGAATACATAAATTGTTTTACGTACTTGAGGCTTTAAATCGTAAAAGTTATAAGATATAGTGTATAAGATGTTCATGATATTTATGCATTCACCAAAACAATTAAAAGAAATTAGAGACAACCCATTCGATATTTATTGCTCTAATTAAGAGTGGTAATTTTTTTTGGGGGGGGGGGAGAGAGAGAGAGAGAGAGAGAGGGGCATACCTGAGCAAGTTTAGCTCGGACATAAGGACCATCACCAGAAGGAACCTTGTGGAGTACATGGAATGCTTCTTTATCATTCTTAGAGCCCTTCTTCATTGACCTAATTCCTTCCATTATCTCTCAATCGATCTATATATAATATGTATGTATGTATGTATGTATATATATATATGTGTGTGTGTGTGTGTGATGAATTCATAGAGACATAGATCAGGGTTTAGCTAATATATAGAAGCAGTGAAGGAGAAACTAAATATTGTTGTATTATTGTTTTATTTACCAGAAAAAAGAAGAAGAAGAAAGAAACTGAATATTGTTTAAGTTCCTTAATATTGGTTTAGCTAAGACAGATCAACCAACAGCTCCTTGTTGGACACATGTTGGCCTACAACTGAAACCAATTAACGGATGACTATATATATATATATATATATATATATATATATATATTTCCTTAAATGTCTACAGAGTGTCCTTCCCATTGGTCATATCGTAACAATCACAGCTATGCTATGGTAGTCCTAACTCCTAAATAAGAACCTTACTAGTAGTATACGCACATTATTACACTAAATTAAGTTAATATTTTTGTTTTTGTTAGTCTGTGTATGCCTGTATACATTATTGTTATGTTACTAGCATATTTTTGTTAGTGTATACAATATTCCTATGTTGTTACTAGCATATTTTTATAAACTAAATATGTTTGTTCAGGACTCGGCGGGGAGGGGAGTTAAGAAAAATTAGGTGTGAATAACTAAAAAATATATGTATAATTTATATGTGTGATTTGCAGTACTTCTAAACTTACAGCCGAGAGTAAAAATCTATTCCACTTAATGTATATGTTAATTGCTGCATGGTTATTGGCATTTGTATTTGTACAAGTGAAACTAGATGTTAAATTAGCTATTATTCAATTGGTTCCAATTTTTTTTTGTAATTGATATTCACACACACATGTCTGTTCGAACTCTTAACTTCCTTTTAAGAAGTAAAAGTTTAATACTATTAGGCCACTGTTGGTGGTTCCACTTCTTTTAATATAAAGAAAATAAAAAAAGTTCTAAATTCATATTTTTAAATAACTATCGGTTCATGCATGGTTGATTTAAACACTTTAGAAAGAGACATAATCCCTCATTAATTAATAGTTCTTATTAGACACTAGTGATTGGAATAGCAAGCAGTCTTGGGCCTGTTAAACCCCCCTCTAGTTTAAATAAATTTCATAATATTCCCTCTCGTTTTTTTTAGGCAACAAACAACCTTTATTTACAGAGGGTTGCAACGCTAATGTATGTTCCACTTTTGCCTTTTGCCTTTAAACTATTAATGTGCATTACACATAACACATTAATTAATTATTTTTGACAGAATCACCCTTACAAATGCTCAATATATACCCTTTCTAATTGATTTACCAAAAAAAATATCCTTGACAGATGATGATATTTCACGAGTTTCTCCATTATTCATGTAGGGCAATATATATTATGGACTGATTCAATATAGATAAATATTATATATAAGTTTGTTTTTCTCTTTGGTAGATGATATTTCCTGTAGTTTCTCTACAATATATATCTACACACACACACACACACGCACACTATGATGATTAAGCTGGAGGCATTTCTTCGTCCTCCCTCGTCCGTATGATCCCGGCAGCCAAAGTCGTCGCTTCCCTCGATGCTGCTGTCAAGTTTCTTTTTATGGTAATTGATGGCGAGAGTTGGGCTAGCTAACACGTACTTGACCACCTTCGTCAGTGCCCTTTTCCCCCCTACTGGAGCTCCCGTCAGCAGGTTCGAATGCATTCCCGTAGCTATAATGGCAACATGATGACGTCAGCAACTCCATTTGAAGATTCTGATACTCCAGTATGACTTTCCTTATGATTTGTGGAATGGAAAACGAGTTTCCTGACTGACACACACACACACACACACACACATATATATATATCATTGTAAGCGGTAATTTTAGTTGTAATATTAAAATTTTTAAATATAGATATTTTATAAAATTTCTCTATTATTCATAATAGTTCCATATTTAAAAAAATGATAAAATCCACAATCTTCATAGTGATATTAAGCAATTCCAATCTCCCTCCGTAGATTGTCCACTAGGGAATTGAAAGGCAAGTAAAAGAGACTTATACTTTCAAGGCATTATACATGGTGGCCAAACCTACTTTTTGTGTGTCCGCTAGTTTTGTTATACATAGTTGGTTTAGCTATGTTTTTTTTCCCTAAAATATTTATTTGTTTATTTATTTTTATATAATTCAATTTTTTTATTAGGGGTATTCATGTAATTTTGTTTCATCCCTTAGCAACAATTGATTCCCCATTAGATAAGTTGTTGCCTCCTCCCCTAAAAAAAGAAAAAGAAAAAGAAGGGTATTGTACAACTTTTTAAAAGTAGAAGGGGGTTAATCACCGAGGCCAAAGTAATAAAAAAGTGCAAATCATATTTATTAGTAATATAAGTTTACTTTCCGTCTTTTAAAAAATACAAAAGAAAAAGAGATTTTATCTTTTAAAAAATACTTTCACATTTAAAGAGGGAAAAGAAAGTGAGATTTTATTACTTTCTTACTTTCTCCACTGTTGAAGAGAATTACTTTCTATCACGGTAGAAATTGACTGTTGAACTCTTTCGTTTATAACACTATGCCAAGTCAGCACTGTAGAAACCAGTTCCCTGTCTGTGCCATTACCAAAATCATGGAACCTAGCCTTTTGATCCGCAAATCCTTTACCAGAATTATCTCTTCATCTCTGTTGAATCCATGAAACCTACTGCGTTGGTATGCGAATTCTCTATAGGAATCATCTATCTCCCTCTATATATCTCATGTCGATCCTAGTTCCAATCCATCTGTTTTAGCAGCAATCATGATCTGACGATGACAACCAGTCAGCCGAAAGAGACCACGATGACTACAAGGAGGGTGAATCAGTCTGGTGGAGGAAGTTAGGTTTAATCGGATTGTCGGAGCACTAGTACTTCCAGGGACGGACCTATGTTGGACTGGGCAATTGCTCCCCTGATTTTTTTTACTAATGCCCCACTATTTTTGTCATTCTGAATCTTCTGACATATATACTAATGAAATATTACATTTGCCTCCCGTAAAATTATTTTTAAAAAAGGGTATTGCCCCCCTCCCTTGAGTTTCTAGGTCCGTCCCTGGCTACTCCGATCAACATGATCTATATACATAGAAAGAGAAAGAGAGGAGATGATTGAAGTTGGCAGATCGAGGCTCTGGTTTCCATGGCTTCCGGCATCAGCGCATAGATTATATAGAGAGATAGACGATGCTGAGGATCCACGCACGATCCCCGCATAGGCGGAGAGAAAGACGAGGATTCGTTAAAGAACTAGAGATTTTTAGGGTGTAGATACGTTGATATCACCAATTCCCTGGTATTGATGTTCTTAAAAGATTCTAATAGCATACATTTTTGTCTAAAAAACTACACATCATGTGCGGGTGCGTACACAACATGCACTGATATGGATGGTTGTAATAGCCCGTGCAAAATGCACTAGACATATTGAATATCTTCTCCTTAGTGAGGATGTTAGCTTTCCCTTATACACACACACACACATACTATGGATTAGAAAACAAAATCAAATTGAAATTGTTTTCTATTATCTTGTTTTCAATAAAACAAGATATTGAAAACATCTACTTTTTATTTCAGCCTAAGAAATCAAAATTATGATTTTACTTTTGAAGAAAGTTGGAATCACTTCCTGATAGTAAACAAGCCCTTAATATTGTACTGTTAGAAAATATATATAAATCAAATTAGAGGAAGAAAAAGTAAGAGAAGTGACATGGTTAACTCAAGAGACTCCTCCCACAGTAAAATATTCACTTTGAAAAATGAACTACTGATTTTGAAAAAATAAAATATGCAAAGTAAAAGTGTCATTTTATTTACTAATATAGGTTCTTCTGGCTTAGAAGTGAATAAATTAAGTTTTGAACCATTAAAACCTCAACGAAGGTTGCACCACTAATTTAAAACTTTCTAGTAATGCAACAATCTATACCATACATATAATAAACATTATAAACACACACTATAAAAAAATAAAAAATAAAATAAAATAAAAGCTTCTAATATATTTTTATACTACGAGCATTTTACATAGTGTATTATTTATTTTTACAAACAAAAAATACGAAACTCTAACAGGCCAACTGATCTCTAAATAGAGAGAGCTCTTCAAAAATGGGAAGCCTTTTGGATCTGAATGGGGCCCATTCACTCATCAACTTTTCAAGCCCATCAACAAAATCATCTTCAAGATTAAGCCCCATAAATTTTGACAATTCATCCGGAGGCTGCTGGGATTCAACTTCTAGTAACAATTCCTTTGCCCGATTTCTGGATTTCAAATCATCAGAACCTTGGAGTCTACCCAGCAATACATCTTCAAGAACTAACCGGGCTTCATCGTACCGGGCTTGCTTGATCAGACAAAGCCCCAAGTTACATGCCTTGTTGGCATTGGGTTGGATCATTTGGGCTTCCCTGTACACCACCTCTGCATCCATGTAGTTTGTTTTTTGCATATAGGCCCAGCCCAAATATCCCTGCAATATTTACAGTTTTACAATTGACTCAAGGCTCCATTAATCCTAGCAACTAGTAATAGAATAATAATAATAATAATTGTTATACTATAATTAGGGTCACAAATGAATCAATCCGTTTATACTATAAGTCTAAAAACTAATGAATATTTAATCTGTTGATGACGAAGATAAATATGTCCAAAAATTATAAAATTGTAATATATTTGGTCTTGGCTACTTTAATTAATTGAAAATGAGAGAAACAGTGACTCTGATTTTCGTTGATATATATCTAAAATGAATTAAGATCCTCTCCATTATTAGTATTTTTTCACTAAATTAGCTATACTACATGTGAAACTCATTACATGACGATACAATACATTCGAGATTTACTATTAGTTTGCAACAATGTAACATTATTAATGCATTCGCAAAGTGTAGGATTCTCAAATTCATTATTTTCCAAGCTGGCATTCTCAATTTAGTAAATGTTAATGATCTTCCTTTGTCCCTATTGATTAGGAGTCTTAACTCTCAAATCCATCCTTTCAAAAAAAAAAACTCTCAAATCCTAAGTCAAGGCTCCACAAAGATTAAAAAGAGACGAAAAGAAAATATGTATGCACAAAGAAACATACAATAAGAATGTTTGTAGTGGTGGGTCCATTTAAGACCCTTCCTTGGTATTAATCTAATATACCAGTATCCGTGAACATTTTAAATCTTGGATTAACAATGACGGAAGGTGTTAATATAACATACCAATATCCGTGAAGTTTCTTGTCCAACTGATGCCTGAAATTTCTTGCCATGAGAACGTGCACTTTTTGTAGATTTTCCATTGAAGACCTTTCCTTGGTAGATCAACTTGAGCTTCTGCTTTAGCAATGCTATTTGTTCATCTACTTTGCCACATTTCTACAAATTTATCCATTATATATATTGTTAGTGTAATGCGTGCATACATATGTAAACATGCTTCTTGGTGCTGCTGTGGCAATGTACACTTTTTTGACACCATTAATTATATCTATTTTAAAAATTTTACATCGACTAAATTTAAGGTGTTGAAAGACAAATATAATGTATTAAAAATCGTTGTGTTAAAAACAGGTGTGATGCGTTGAAAAATGTACACCATCACTACAGCAGGTGGAGATCTGGGCTCATGTATTATGCATACACATGTCTGTGTGTGTGTGTGTGTGTGTGTGTGTATATATATATATATATATATATATATACCTTGTATAAGTCAATGAGGACATTATCAAGTGATTCCTGGGCATACTTGAAGCAAAGAACTCTAAAAGACTTGATAGCTTCAATGGCATCTTCAGTTCTATCCAATTGCTTCATTACCATTACCATGTCCTTAAGGGCACTATCCACTCTATCTCGTGCATTTATAGCCTTCCAAAACAATACTATTGCTTCTTCTGGATCCTTTTGAACTAGCTGAATTCATGATCACAACAATTTATTTGTTATTATTATTTTGAAAAAATAAATTAATAATAAGATTGACAGATAAATGAGACAATGGAAAAAAATATAAAATAAGTCCCCTTTAACAAGAGATTATATAATTGTACATACATAGAAGTACCCAATGCATATGTTATACAATTATTTCAGAGAGAATTTCATACTGATATATAATGGTTTATGCGTGCTCAAGTCTATTTCATGATTACATAAAATTTATCATTATATTCTTTTTGTTACTCATCTACTTTATTACCAGTGAGATACGTACTCATATTGAAAAAACATGTTGCAAGTAGGTGTAATTGGTCCCGAATTTCATAACTGTAATTAAGGGTGATAATTTTGGAGAGAGTGAGAGAAAGATGAGGGGCACATGCACCTGAGCGAGTTTAGCTCGGACGTAAGGACCATCACCAGAAGGAACCTTGTGAAGTACATGGAATGCTTCTTTATCCTTCCTAGAGCCCTTCTTCATTGACATAATTCCTTCCATTCTCTCTCTCTCTTGATGTATATATATGTGTGTGTGTGAGTGTGTATATATGAATTCATACAGAGAGAGAAGAGGTTGAATTAATATATAGGAGTGAGGGAGAAACTGAATATTGTTGTATTATAGTTTTATTTACCAAAAAAAGAAGAAAAAGAAAGAAACCAAATATTGTTTACGTTCCTTCTTTTCCATTGGTCTTACGTAACAAGCTATGTTGTTGTAGTCTTAACTCTAACTAAGAACCTTACTAGTAATATACGTACATTATTACACTAAATTAAGTTAATATTTTGTTTTTGTTAGTTGGTGCTTGCATTTATACATTATTGTTATGTCTGTCTGTTTGTTTGTTTTAACTGTGGAACCTCCGTAAGGCAAGGTCTTTTGGAACCACTTTTAGAAGATAAATCACATGGGCACTAGCGAGACCCAAACATCAGCCTCGAGTAAGTCACGAATAATTTAGGAATAGTGATGTCTTTAATGCGTCTTCAAGTATCAAACGAAGGACCTCCTCTTTTAGATCATTTATCTCACACCTTTACTCCAACACCAACCCGTGCGGGTTAATATTATCATTATGTTACTAGCATATTTTTATTAGCGTATGTATTACTATTGCTATGTTGTTACAACCAAATTTTTATAAACTAAAAATGCATGTCGGTTCAGGACTCGGCCTGAGGGAGGTTCGGAAAATTAGGTGCATGTAAATAACTAAAATATATGTGTGTGTTTTGCAGTAGTACTTCTAAACTTATAGCCAATTGTAAAACTCTATTCCACTTAATGTATATGTTAATTACTGCTTGGTTATCGGCATTTCTATTTGTACAAGTGAACCTAGACGTTAAATTAGCTACATAGTCAATTGGTTCCACTTCCTTTAATATAAGGAAAATTATAAAAGTTTCGAATTTATATTTTTACATAGTAATGGGTTCATGGTTGATTTAAACACTTTAAAAAGAGAGATACCAGTATTATCCATTATTAATTTATAGGGTTAAATACTCTAACTTCCCCTGAAGTTTTTTCAAAAATCTCCTATCATAAACTATTATCAAAATAATCCTTGATACCCCTTGAGGTTTGTCCAAATTTCAATGACCACCCTGACGTTAATCAGACTTAAGTCTGTCAATAAAATACATATTTTATAAATGCTGAAACTACCACTAAGTAAAAGAAAATGACTTAAATGACCTTATTACCAAATAACCATTTCAGCATATAATTCAATATATTTGCTGTCAAAATAAATTATTCAATAAATAATTCATATAATTCAACAAAATAGACATTGGTTAATAATAATTCATCATTTGATTCATCAACAAACCACTTGTTCAATTTTTTTTTTTTTTTTTCCCTTCAATTACCCACAAAAATTTGTTTTCAACTCCACAAAACACAATCCAAAAGGGAAGATATAAGAAATGGTACTTTTGTCCAATTAAATTTGATTGAAATTGTCATTTGAGTCAATTTCTCTCACATTTGAGTAGTTTGGACATTTAGAAAATATTACATTAATTAATGTTACGGGTGTCCAGAGAAATTTGGACAGACCTCAAGCGGTGTCGGGTTATTTTTAACAAATCTTAAGGGAGGTTAGGAGCTATTTTGACAATAGTTTCAGCTAAGAGATATTTGGATAAATGGAGGCCAGGGTCAATAGGGAGATATTTGGACAAACTTTGGGGGAGGTCAGGATATTTCACCCTAATTAATAATTCTTGTTAGACACTCGTGATTAGAATAGAAAAAAAATATTGATTGTTAAGTATAACAGTACTCTTAATATACTACTAAAACATATAAATCAAATTAGAGGGAAAAAAAGTAAGAGAAGTGATATGGATTATAGATAGCTCAAGAGACTCCTGTCCACGGTATCAATATGGGTAAAAGGTAGTCTTGTTCACTTGGAAAATTAAACTTCTGATTTTGAAAAATTAAAATATGAAAAGTAGAAGTGTCATATATATATTTTTTACTTAGATTCTTCTGGCTTAGTATAAATTAAGTTTTGAACCATTGCAATCTAAGTGGAGATGCGCTACTAATTTTGATTAACCAAAACTTTTTATACAACAATCTACAATTAAAATAAAATGGATCATATGTATGTCTCACCGGGAGAGATTCCATGAATAAGCTAAAAGGTAAAGGGATTGCAAAAGTGGCATATAAGATGATAGGATAAGAATGGTAGGCGCCTTGAGAATGAAGATAAAATATGGGTAGGCGCAATATATAATGAAAATTTTAATAAAAGATGCAATTATGCACCTATATATCTTCGGTTAATGAGTAATTAGGACCCAAAAAATTAATAATAATAAGGGAGAAAACTCTTTGTTCCTAATTCTCATGTAACTAGACTTTGTTGAACCACAATAATTATTATAGTTAAAGTGATATTTTATTAACTCAGCAAATTTTGAGTGAAAATTTGATTAGAGTTTCTCTTTGGAGAGCAAGTACTATGAAAGTTGTAAATAGATTTATTGGCAATAATTGACATTTATGGTATAATCCATCTGGAGACATCATGAGGTGCAGTGATTTACTTTGTGACTGCATTATTGGCTATTCTTGACCTTTATAGTAGAATCAATCTGAAAATTTTCAAATGTCGTGATTTACTCTACGACGGAGTTATTGACTATTGTTGACCTTTAGGGTAGATCAGTCTGAAGATTTGAGATGCAGTAATACATGTTGGTCATTCAAATTCATTTATAATTCCAACTTCTGAACTTAATTGATAAAAAACTATGTTATAGTGCACTCAAATTTTCTAATTTAGCAGTTCTATGCATAATTTATTATTTAAGAACGTTTATAAGATCATTCAGTTTAAGAATGGCGTTATACATAAGTGAAGGGTAATGTTAAAATGAGCATAGGATTATGAAGAATTCCTAGACGTACAGGAGGTACCTACAAGGCGACGGAATGCTTTTAAAAAGTTGAAAGTAAGCAAAAATCCAGAGTTTTCAAATAGGTGTTGAATAAATCAATTTTTTTACTATATACTTGAAGCTTTAAATTGTGAATAGTCATAAGAGATACACGAGATGTTGATGATATATATGTATTCACCAAAACTAGGAAAGAAATTAAAGAAATAATTATAATTAAGAGTGATAATTTTGGAGAAAGAGAGAGGGAGATCAGGGGCACACCTGAGCAAGTTTAGCTCGGACGTATGGACTATCACCAGAAGTGATTAGCGCTGAAAAGTACACTTTTAAACCCCTTAAGCTTGAGTGTTTTAGGACCTTTATCTATCTTATTTTCTCGTTTTAGTACTTATTTGTGTTTTTGTCTATTTCAGGTCAATAATATTAAAATGGGCTAAAAATGGTTTCTTAAGGCCTTTTTGGAGTCAAATTAAGTCTTAGTGATGATCCGGAGCAAAAAGAGGATGATTTGGAGCAAAAAGAGGCTGATGCTGAAAATCTGCCAAGTTGGATCCATCCAACTTTTCTCAAAAAGTTGGATCGATCGAAAATCAAAGTTGGATCGATCGAACTTTTGCTAGCAGCGAGCTGTCTTATTCCGTGCGCGCCCAAAAGTCTACCTATCACATAGTACGGGATTAGATATTTTTGGGCCTATATCCCTGACTTAATGACTAAGAAAAGGACCTTCTATATAAAGGGAAGTGACCCATTTGTAAAGGGGCTTTTATCATTTTATTTCTATATTGTAATTTTAATTTATCTCTCTAGAAAGTTAGAGATTAGGGTTAGATGAAAAGAGGGAAGTGGAGGCACATCTCAAGATCTATCTCTAGACCACTCTCTCTCACAATCTCTAGAGCTTCAAAGAAGAAGAGGAAGAAGAAGATGGAGCCATATTTGGAGCTTGATTCCATGACCACATCCACCTCCTCCATGATTGGCTAGATCTACACTTCGGGCTTGGATGAGCCCTAAGTCTTGTGTAATCTAAACTTTTGTATTTCTATTTTTAGGGATTTATATATATTGTTGTGATTAGTGTTCTAGTCTTGTGGATTTCATGAATCTTGGTATATTTTTATGATTTCTATGCTTTAATTCTTCCCATTAATTCTCTAGTTTATTTACATGTCTATGTGTGATTAAATTATGAATTATTTCTTACATGATTCATATGGATTAATTCTTTCTATTGATTCTCTATTTGATTACATGTTGTCTTATGTGTGATTATTTGGGAATTAATCTCTACACTAGTTTTTCTATATTAATTGCATGTCTATGTGTGGTTGATTGAAAATCTAGTGATGGTTAAGCATGTGTTTTCATTGAATGGGTTTGTCAATTAATTTGATGGTTTATACTTATGCTTGATGGGTTGTTCTACAATTTAATTCATACTTGTAGGTAGGTAGACAATCTATGCTTGCTTAGATATTCCATGGCTTATTATTGCAAATTTTATGATTCTCTAGATTGATGTATGCTACAATTGTTGCTACTTAGATGGGTCATGCTTAAAATTGATGGGTTGTGCTACACTTAGTTTAGGTAGACAATTCATACATTAATTAGATGGTTCATGCTTAATATTGCAATTGGTAGTCGCATTTTGTTCACAACAATGTATTCCCCATTAATGGAAAGCAAGTGGTTAATTACACGAGCTTAGTGGTGATTCCAACACCGTAAGTCCTCTCTTCATATCTTTTAAATCCCTATCTCTAATTAGTTTTATTTCACTTTCATTTTAATTAATTGTTTTCTAGTTTAATCAACCAATCTCTATCTTTTGTAATCTTGTGATACGCTGGAGTTGAAGTTAAATTCCAACACGTATAATCCCTTGGGACGATCCCTACTCACTCTTGCTACTTTAGTAGTAGTGTTGGTAATGATTTTTATAAATTTAAACTTGACCCAAAAGGCTTTTCCTGAACCGCACATTCACTACATTATTTTGGCGTTCACAAGCGGCCTCGTCAAGAAGGAACCTTCTGAAGTACA